CTAATAAAAAAATATTCTTTCAGTTTTATGCTAATCGTCATAACCGAGTAGTATTATTTTCACAGAAATTGGAGTTAAATGCTTGGATTATCATCACGCATTCCTAAAAGTAAATTCACACACTTATACACCAGTTTTCATTTCTGTTTCCACAAATCTCTTTATCGCCTTACTTGGATTTTACGTAATAAATCGTAAGTGCTGCTAACTCTAAATGGCTATTTGCAGGATTTCGCCTTGCTGAATTTGCAAAACCCAAGTACTTTAAGATTCCACTACTGTATTCTGAGGTGATTTGGGTTCTGGTCTAAGGATTTCTCGAGGCATCATATCAACTTCGAGCTTTAGTTTCTTTCCCATAAGCATTCTTTGCATGCAATATTGGTGCATGAAATGCTCGCCATAGTACTTGAGTGTGAATATCTTAGAGGTATCTTTTCCTTGGTGATGGTTTGGGGTGGAAATCAGGATGTGAACTTCCTTTTCTTTGAGACTCATCAGCTGAATTTACCTATCCCAATAAGTGATGGTATTTCCGCTGGGACTTAGTACAGCAATCATCACTGAGAATGTCAGAAGGTTATTACCCAGGCCAATAAGTCCTGAGATCCACCGCTTGTGCAGAAGGTATCGTTTGTTTCCATTCATACCAGTAGTTCCCCTTTTATTAGTATACTGGACCGACATCGTCAGTTACTTCTGGCATATGGTTGCTTCAGCGGATGTCTGAATTGTCATCTGAACGTTGGAGACGGGTTTGTTTCAAAGTGGCACGAAATCGTTATAGACGACCTCACCTCGTTGTCTTTGGATTCATTTATCATTGGATTGTCACAAAGTTGTAATTTGTAGAACTTCAATGAAAGATTATTCCTGAGTCAGCTTCTGCTGGATACGATGGAATGTAGTTAAGGTTAAGAATGTACCTAGGCTTTCTTCAAACTTATACAGTTTATTAAATTCAGTGGATTGCAACTCCGTGAACCCTATTTTTATAATTCACAGATTGAGATAATGAAACATAAGAGATATCCAGCGGGTGAAAAGAAGTTTGACACATTTTCTGTAATTCTTGCTTGCCTTACTCTTAAGTGGAAGTGTGGGACTGGGAAAACTCATTTCAGGATTGTGCTGCCTTAAAAATTCCCCCATTAAACTTTGATACGCTTTGATACATCCGTTCTGAAACAGACTGTAAAAACATGCATTAGTTTTCTACTCCAGTCATTGGATGACTGTATAAAACAAGCCGTTTTTAGAACACAACGGATAACATACCAGGGAACTGGGAAGGATAGTTTTACAAAGTTTATTGAACCAGTTTGTCAAGTCAGGCTATTAGGATCGTCATACTCGAGGAATTCATGTCCAACAAGTTTCTTTAGCTCTGAACATCAGTTTAATCTAATTGTAGCTTTGGAAATAGCTGTGAGTATAATCTCCGGTCACGTCATTGCTATCAGAATGACAAAAGTACGGATACTGAAGTTATAATGCATCTTATAGTTCAGAACAGTTTTCATTTCAAATCAGTCAGCTAAATTGCTCCACTCATTATACACTGTGTTCAGTTTTCCCGGGAATAGCGCAAGGGTGAATAATAATAATAATAATAATAAAATGTGTAGATACATGGTATTTCATCAATGAAACTTTACTAATATATGCTGGGCAATAGTCTCCTTCACACAAAAATATCTACTTTACAATAAAATAACCTAGTTCCGTACAGTGATGAAGTTCGTCGACGCGTAGAACTATTCTAATTAAAAGGGAAAAAAATATCTGTATGAAACAATGACGTTGAACGGCATAACACTTGGAGAAAAGAATAAAGCATCAATCAACAAACTGTTTCAAGCCATGCCCTTAGGAAGGTCTGACAATATCCTGAGATGAGTAAAACAGAAGACTGACATACACGATCCGGCATCATCGAATCAAGACGGTGGATAGTAAAGGAAATAAATTCCTACGGAAGAAGTACAAGAACAAACAAAATGTATTTCATTAGGCAGTGAGGTGAAAACAGAATATGTTACAGGAACACTGAGCAGAGAAACTGTAAAAACTATTTAATGTCAAACAAAAGAAAAATGTGTGTAGCATTGACTTCTTCAATATATTATACAGCAAACGTTTGTTTAACAAATCTCTCTGCAAATGTTGAGCAATTATGTTGTATTTTAGGCATTTCATTTCCATGTTCAGCTGTTCTGAACCAATAATCGGACTCCTACAGAGGTTACACATTCGTTCATACAAACTTACCGAAATTATTGGCAAGAAGATACAGAAACTTTGGGAATTATTAAACCTTGTATAGGTAGCAATTTTTGAACTAGCTCACTAAGCCCTCAGCCGACTTCAGTATGCCAACACCAGTTGAGTGTATCGTTATATAAAATCAATGCCCCAAATATTCTTGGCCTACGGTTCATCAAACAAACTAAAAATGGGGATATCAACAAGAAGATTTAAGATAATATAGAACGAATTTTGAATAGGAAATAAGCTAAAAGTAATTCAGTTCCATGTGAGTGAATAAACGCATATTTTCAGTAGTAATGTACGCCGCAGTGAGCGGTGAAAAAAATAACTTTCATCAAGCGGATTTCTATTCTTAAGCTATACAAGCCGATATAAACCACTTAGTTCTCTATAGTCTAACATAATTTGAGTTGAATAAGATTACGCACCCTCTCTTATTCACAAAGTTAACCATAGCAAGAAGAAAATATTGAACCGGATTCGCCTGAATGTTTTTTGTGAATTTTTTCAATCTGCTCCACAACCTATAATATTTAGGATTAACAAATGCTACGAAACCTCGTACATACGACAAGAATGTTAATTTAAATGGTAGATAACACAGACGTTAGGTGATGAGGAATTCGTCCAACTGAATAATACTGCTGAAAGCTCAACTATTAATACAACGATCAAGAGAGTATTCTAGCAAAAAAGTGGAAGTTAATAATAATACTGACATTGATGATGACAATTATAATTATCGCTTTATTCTATGCAGCATCCGTGATACATTATGGAACCTTTAGCATGTCAAATTTAAAGCAATATTGCAACATTTTCAAACATCATGATTATTGCATCTGAATGATGTTAATAATAACGGAAAATAATGTGAAACAGGTAGCTGGTGTTACACTAGCGTCCAGTCTAGAATGGAGAATGAACAGGAAAGTGTGCATATGTTTCATGGTGGTAGTCCATTCAGTCAGTATAACAATCTGGAATTCATGTTGATAAGCTCAGATGACAAATTTAAATGAATGAAACAAATTGAAAGGAAAGTATATGATGTGCATGTTTGTTGGAAGATTTTGATAACACACGGATTAAGCAAGCTGTCGTATTTTAGAGTGATGACTAAAGAGTAGTTGGGAACAATCCTCTACCAGAATTAGGCTTTCTGTAGATTGATCTACGAAGTGAATTATTGTCTTTTCTTTCGAGCTGAACATCAAGAAAATGGAAGGTTGAGTTTGATTCTGATTCTAGAGTGAATTTGGTTGAAAGGTGGGCGTTTTTGAAGGTTTGAAGCAAGTTTACAAGATTCATATTTTCACCACACCAAGGTCAGTAATTTAGCGAAAAACTTTTCATGTACTCACCTAGAATCACACTATAAGATGTGATGGCGTGATAATTATAAAATTTAATATAGCCAGGTGACTGGAGAGATTGATCATATAATCTTTGTTCACCGAACTAACACCTAGTACGTGTAATGGGAATAGTTCATTATGACATGTCTGGTCATGTCAGAATGCATATCTGTAAGTGCAATAATTAATCCAGTGATTATTCAGATTAGAAATTATATTTAAGTAGTGCGGTTTAATGATTTCCCAAAAAAACTGTGGTAAAATTCAGTAATATCGGAAACCTTCAGAGCCACCATTAAAATCTCTATTACACGTCAAGATGTTCATTTTTCACTAGAGTTTCAGGATTCTAATGTTTGATGTCGAGAACTAATCACTGGTAATCTTATGTAAAGCGTATTGTGTCAGAAGCATGATCAGTTGACATTTTACTGTGAAAGGAATTTCTTGGGATATTTCACTTTCCAAAACCGAGTGGTGTAAGTATTTCTGAACTTTATTTGCGAGGTGTGGTTGATTATATTTACATACCGACAGGTGGGTGCTGATGAGGTAAGGAGAAACGTTGATTAAGCTGGAAAGCTTGATTTATTTTACTTTATGGTCGTGGCAATGCTGTTGGACAGTTTATTGTTTCACTGGATAAATCGCTTACACAGTGTAGCATTAAGCTATTAAATATTTGATACAAATATATATTATCTATTTCCTCTTGTGCGGAATAGTTCTCACAGTCAGAGGTCTACCTATGTTTTGTAATATTCCTGTGACAATGTGAAACATAAATTCCTGAACAGAAGAATAACAGATGAAAGCACACACTGAAAATTAAACTTTCCAGTTTTGTTTTCAGGTTGGTATTCATCACGGACTGACATCAGTTGGAGAACAGAAGCTGGAGGTGTACACCACTGGATTTTCAACCAGGGGCTCAATGGCCACTTGCTGGCCGTGGGACTTGAAGGTCCTGGGTTCGATCTCTGGCGTTTCATAGGTGCGCACTGCTGAAGAGTCCCACACCAGGACGAAGCAGTTGTCTATTGCTCCCAGGCTTCCAATGTTTCTTCAACTGATGTCGGCCCATGAAGTCAAGAATGTTCGTCCACACTGTCGTACATAATTGATAACAAGAGTGTTGTCTACTTACCTACCCACCTACCACCATCGTAATAGCCTCTAATGAGTACATGAAAAGATCAGTAAGAAGCTAGAAAATAAATCGAAGGTTGCGTTACGCTCGATCGAAATATGAAATGAACCTGATTTCATTGGGTAGCGGTTTAATTGAAAGGTTTTAGAATATAACACATACATAACTACAGATACCCTGGATATTTAAGTGGATGCAGACAGTTTGAACAAACAAGATGGCGTACAGTCAGTTACTTCTTAAAAACAATCATTTAATAAGTACAAATGGTCATTTTTGTATTTATTCCGATGTTCTATTTTTCATCCGTTACCTTTTTTAATAATGGAAAGGTATGTGGATTGATTTTCTGTTTTATTGTTATATTCACCATCATCATTAGTATGCATCTGTATTCTAAAAGACAATACAATAGAAATAAGCCAATATCAACTCATGCTTACACAACGGCACATACATATTTCTCATATATGTATATAAGGATACCACATACCTTTTAGCTTCCTGTGAATCGATTATCGCACCGTATATCGAGCAATATATCTAAATATACCAGATAACGTTTCCTCCCATCTTAACAGTTACAGATAATATAACTTTATTTCTCCTCCAATATACGCAGTACATCATCAGGCTAGTCAACAACTAGTTCACAATACATATCTTATAACGTGAAACAATTCCTTTGAAATCGTTGACCGTGTTTTCAGTAAATGACGTATACACATTGGCTAGCAAAGATCAAAATGATTAAGTATTTAAACGCTGTCGTTTTGTCGAAAGCAGTCTCCTACAAAGAAGAACTCAGAGGGGTAAGAAAAAACAGTTATTCGAAGAAATATATTCAAAACGAATTTTAGTCGTTCTTATCAATGGTACTTAAATACGAAGTCCCAACTTTTATAATATCCATTTAGACATTCAGTAAAACAATGTGAGCGAAGAAATATTTCTTTTCAATTAGTTCCTCATCAATGGCTCTACATTAATATAGCATTTTCAAGCGTATAATTACATACCAATCTAGTGGTGAGAGTTGTTCAATGAAAGGTTATCAATCTCAAAGTATTAAGAAGCTGATAATTGATCAGGTAATTAAGACAGTTAACTAAAGCAAAGATTAATTATAGTAGAAAGATTTTGTGAACAGGTTCTTACATAATTGATATTTTGTATAATGTTAACTAAAGAGCGAAAATGAACTGTCACGTGAAAGGTAAATTGTTGACGTTAATTAGAAACAGTAGGGGGAGAAGACGATGGCTAAATCTGTAATGATAATAATAATCATAGTAATAATAGAGCTATCAAAATATTAGTTATAGTCAGTTGTGTGGTGAATGAAATTTAGAGTCTTGTTATGATAAATGAGCTATACAGATGGCCAAGGCAAAGAAAGAGGCTGTACGAATCTCTTCTGAACACAAAAACTTGGCTTGTTTAGGTGGATTACTATGGCTTCTGCTGTATGTAAAAGACTAACTCATAGAGCATGGGTGAGGTGAAAAGAAATGTGATAAATAACTTTAAAGGCATTAACTCGGTGGCCGGTGTCAATCAGAGAGTATTGAGCTTCGTATCGATCTGGTTTTCCCCTAATTTAGCCATGAAGGGCGATGCTCGGCGATTCGACGACGGACTTGCCTAACTGTACGTCCAATGTAACTAGCTCCACAGAAGTGGTTGATCTGGTAAATGCACATAGAAGAGGAGAAGTCAGGGAGTCTGTCTTTAGTTCGTGTGGTCATAATCGGCCGGTTGTAGAAAACATAGCATAACTTGGTGGCATTAAATGATCTTCTTATAGCATTTTTTAAGCGTTGTGTCACAATTTTGCGGATGATGTCACCTCGAAATTGTAGTCTTAGGAACAATGGTTTCTTGGAGACTGTAGGCATTTTGGTTTTCATATTGGATGTGTCCATATTTTAGCCAGGAACGTTTCTGGACATCCATTACTACTGAGTAGTAGATCGTGGATAATTTGAAGCTCTTCGTCAAAAGTATCATCTGAACAGATGAGTCTAGCCAAATGGACCAAACATTTAACTAGATTTCATTTATATTACAAGAGGACGGAACTCAAGAAGTGGGTGTATTGACCTGCTGACGTTGGTTTCCGAGACACACTTCTTTTTATAGTTCCATCCACCTTCCTTGTCAATCGAACATCTAAAAAGATGATGCTGTCATCACTTTCTATCTCAATAGTGAAGGTTATTGCTGTGAATAGTAAGTCTATGATATCTTTAGACGTATCAGCCATATTCACAAATGTCCCTCTGATGGAAACAGTGGACTTCATATGTAGCGAACTGGAAAAGAGAAATATAGAAATTGGAATTACTGCATCCACCTTGAAAGAGCTTCTCTTACGATGTACAATGAATGCACACTTTCTCTCCAATAAGGAATTCTATAGGCAGTCAGACGGTGTCACTATGGATTAGATGTAGGACTATTTTACGCTCAACTATATATGCAGTATTTAGTATGTAGTAATAGAATGAAAATTCTTGAAATAACAGAAATCGATAAGGTTGGTAATTAGTGTTATTAGCGGTTTGGTGTAAAGTAACATCATGATTAATTGAAACAGTAGAAATCAAATTGGAAGTGTTATAATGGTATAACGATAGCCTTTTTTCGGTGTCGAAATTCAAAGCATATACACAAAAAGTAATCCTCTCGTACTTTTAAGGTCCTGAATTTCTTCTACAGCGGCAAATTTATTTCGAAGAAAAAGTTGATGGCCGTCAGTTGAAATTCTATCAGAAACAAACGTAGATTAGGATGATGAAGCCTGTCGACTTCGAATTATTTTTATGCACAGTGAACTAGCTGGTCAGGTGAAAAGTGTTTAAGTGATCATCAAGATACAAACAAACAATTCCAGTGGAAGAAGAAATAGTGGTTCGCATAGTAGATAAAAAACTAGTACTTAGATCTGTAGGACTTCACGGAAAGGCAAAATGGTGTTTGTTGTTTGTTGCGTGAAATGATGGACGAATGAATGAATGATCGATTCGGCCAGTTTATATTTTAAGCATTTCATTTAAAAGTTGTCTAGTATTATTGAGATCCCATACTACAAAACCTTCCAATAACAATGAAGTTCTCACGTTTGTCATTTAAACTATCTGACTTCATTGGAATTTTGGGGTTACCAGCCACATTATATGCCATAGCGACCTGTTCAAATTTCTGAGCTACTAAATTTTCCATTTCACATATTCCATCAAATGTTTCTACACGTTTGTTCGTTTTAATCATTTTATTATGTCCTCTGCTCTCATTAATATATTCACGCATGTTTTTAAAAAGTTTACGCCTTTTGCGATACCAGTATCAAATAAGATGAGGAAAAAGCATCACGGTGGATGAGAATGTGTTTTAAAGCGAATAACTTTATCTGAAATGACTCAGCCTGAAGTTAAAAGCATGAACTGCAGATTATTGCAGAGAAAAGTGGATTACCTAAAATCTCTTATATTTTCAAATTTTCCCCGTAATACTGAAGTAATTTCACTTCAAAATTTGGTTACTTGGACTTTATGATGACAATTTCGTTTTTCTGAATGGTTTTTGATTTTTCTGTCAGATCCATGTAGCTCTACTAATAAAGGTGCAGATGGTGTTGCTACATTGATCAATGCCCACTGATGCATTTTGGGTCACATATACTTCAAATTCTCAAATGATTACATAGATTGCGACAGTGTTAAATACCGCCCAGAATAGGTGAACCATAATCGGTCTATTTATATTACAAATATTTATGTGACGCCTGGTCTCAGTTACTTCCAGTTATCTAGTTTATCTGATATATTCATGGAATTCGCAGCTCCTTTTTTGTGTGTTTCCCTGTTGATAATATGTGATAATTTCAGTTCTTGTGAAAAAAGCTTTCTCAAACCTCTTGGTCATCAAAACTTTGCTACCTTCACAACACATCAGGACCCCACACTAAACTTGGCATTGGTCAATGATACCGATATATATATGAAACTCAAAGAGAGCTCCATTACTCAGCTCAGGTCATTGCATTATACTTGTTTTGTCCAAAATATATGGCAAACTACAAAAAACAGCCTTCACATACAAGAAAATTGTATATAGAAACCATTCACTTGGTAGCATACTTAATGTAAGAGAAATACTACAATGTACAAACTGGAACCCATTTGACAGCGATGTTTTGAACGACATTACTGATGGTGTGACATGCTATCTCAAGCTTTGCCTGGATATCTGTAACCTCAGTGAAAAACATCTTTTGCTCTTCGATCGCATGCCTACTCCCCAGCTTAGGAGATTAAGAAGAGGAAACAGAAAAGTAAAGTGTAAAGTAAGTGATAATGCTGGTGGTCGTTAATTGAACATTTTAATCAGGTTGGAAATTAAACTCCTGAGTCTTTTACATAATCAGAAACTTTTGCCACGCAAAGGCTTTTCCATTTTGAAAACCTCACTGGCAGTAAACACCCTACTAAAGAAGCATGTGATAACGTCTGTACTCTAACCAAATAGTTTATACGCCAATCCACCTGTCCAATCGCACTTTGTCCACAAGTTTCCAATGAAGAATATTGTCCAGCGTTCACAGAGATAGGTGTTTTCAGGTGTCTCAGTTCCCTGACCTCTTCACACAGTTTACGTCTAGATGGTATGTGAAGTTCCATATTTACGAAATGCCCTGATATGTTATGCTATTCACCAACTAACATGTTTAGTAGATCGTTTTCACAAAGTGATATATCAGCTGCCTGGAACGACATTAAGATAGTCCCCTTATCTAAGTCAGAAGCTCCAGAGGTATGTCGGAAATCCTGTCCGATTGCAGTTACTTTTCCGTTCTTGAAGTTAATTGAGAAGCTAATAATACCTGCACTTGAACCTACGTTAAACGTCTTAGGATACCCTAATCAGTTCGCATATAAAAGCAGAGGAAACACTCTGGATGCTACCATTGTCTTATATGGCAATATTGCTTCTAATCTTGATAGAATTGCCAAGTTTGTCACATGTGCGTTTTTAGACTATACTTCACCGTTTGATTCTCTTCCAAGATCTCTTTTACTGGACAAGCGAGACAGGACTAATAGTGAGTCCTGAATAATCAGCTTGCCGTATTCGTGTTTCTCTGTAAGGAAACGATACACTTTTTATAGAGGGAGGTGCTTTACCTCATTGCTTACTGTGACTGGTGTTCGCCAATGAGCCGTCCTTTTCCCCTCCCTTTCCTCTTTCTTTCTGCATGACTTGCAGTCTTCATCTAGTATCAATTTTGCCAAATATGATGATGTAATTCCATATTAGATTTGTTTATTTGGTATATAGCGCACAGTGATACAGTATTATTTACTTGATTACGTTTCGAGCATAAATTATTGCTCATATCATATCATATCATATCAATGTAATCACACTTCTTTCGATATCTGATTCTATAATGGAAATGAAATTATATAATGGGAAACTTTACTACCAATCAAAAAACAAAAAAACAAAGAGAGATCAGGTGACGGGACTATAAAATCAGATATCGAAAGAAGTGTGATTACATTGATATGATTATGAGCAATAATTTATGCTTGAAACGTAATCAAGTAAATAATACTGTATCACTGTGCGCTATATATCAAATAAACAAATCTAAGATGGAATTACATTCTACCACAGTGCCCAAGTTTCTCACTTATACAAATATGCTTATGACCTGACAGTTTCCATACCTGTCTCATCTTCAACAGATTTTTACCAATTGAATGATTTTCTCTCTACTGTTAGACGATGGTTCTCTGTGACTGGTCTTGTGCTTAATTCTTCACAACTGCAGTCTATAAACTTTAGTTTTAGTCGAAAACATAATATACGCAAACTGCTTATTTCTCGTGATTCCTTTTCGATTGATAGTTGTGGATTAGAAAATGTTACAAGTGTGAAACATCTCGGTGTATATTTTTCTTCGGACCTTTCCTTGTCCACCCAAATCTTAATTTCCAAAAGAATTTCCCACCTAACTTACCATATTAGGAAGCTGAGAGTATCTGGTATAACTCATCCCCTCCTCGTGTGTTTTATAACCTCATGCATCTTTCCTATTCTCCTCCATTGTCCCCCTTTATTCTTTCTTGGGTCGTTGAAAAACGACTGTGCTATATTGTGTAGAACTTTGAAGACTGTCAGCAGAACGAGCCGTGTATCTCTAAACCTAATTAAAACCGTTGTAAACAAACATCTTAACTCATGTAAATGTCTATCAAAAGTTATTTCATCAGATGACCAGAGTCCTCTTCACTCAAAGCTCTTAGTCGTCAGGACAGACGAGGAGAAAGTATATAAGACAATATGCACCTGCTACTAAAAATACAACTCTACAATACCACATTTAGCCCGTCCGCTGCGCGACGAAGAAATTATTAGAAATGAATTAACTAATAATCGGCTTTTGTTGTTAAAAGAAAACTAGCTAAAGAGTATGCAGCTTGCTGTTATTTATGTATTATGAATCGAATTTACAATGTAGTTTTCTACCTAAGTTAACTCTGCAGTTCCAAGAAAGTTGCAAACGGAGTAAATATTCTTATCTTTCATGTGTAATTTATATATATATATATATATATATATATATATATATATATATATATATATATATATATATATATATATATAATGCCACTATTGTTATTATTAAACATTCTGAGTATCATTCTAGGACTGTATGTGGAACTCGATTTGGCCATTATAAGATGACCGGAAGGAAAGCATGAAACCTTTGATGAATTTACAAATAGTGGTATTCAAATTGGTTGCCACTATCTTTTTGATTTTGAAAATTAATGTGGCAACTTCCCCAGCTCATTTCCACTTCACTGATAAATTTAGGCGAATTCACTTGGATGACCGTACATGTGGGTTCAACTTCATGATATGTTTTCCTCTTAGCATTATTCTTATTCATCTACAGTCCTGAATGAATGGAAAGAAGAGAAATGATTGTTTTCGGGACAAAATACCACGTCATCACGGTGCACACCTCAAGATGTTTATTAAATAAACTAATGTGAAGTGAAAACTTCGACTTGACAGTATCTACGGCTTGAACACTTTTCTTTCCTTAGCTTGAACTCTGATTCGATGGACACACTATAAGTTGGAGAACTGGTTTATCATGGTTTCAAACTTCGAATCTTTCAGACTTCGCTCGATGACGTATGTTGTCCTTTATCACAAATATATGAGACAATTATGTTTAAAACGTGATTCATCTGCATGTGCAGTTTGAAATGAAGGTAATGTATGTACGGGTGAAGTGACTCAAAAATGAGTGTCTTCTTCTGAATCTAATTAGGTGGTTAATGGACATTAAAACTATATCTCCTGTATTAGTAATGCACGGGTAAATATGGTAGTGACTTCATCTTATTTTGTCGGATCCTTGTAACACTGTTGAACGCCTGATCAAATAAATTAAATTTTATCTTCATGATTTCAATATAGTGAGATAGTATTTGATATTATTCCTTTGACGTCTTAATACTGACTGTTTCACGCCGTCCAGTTTCCTGGTTTTAAAGCCGATTTATTCAACTTCAAATTATGGCATGCTGTCCCTGTAATCGGCGATTATGATCATCGTCTTTATCCTACTAGAGTGACATTGTTCATTCTTATGAAGGTATATGTAGATAAAATAGTCCTTATCAGTTAGACTACGGAAACCAAACAACTGAGATTCATGTACCGCCTCATTTTCAAATTGTTTACCCATAAAAATCGATATCATAGTAGTGCAAACACAAGCGAATCACCAATCGATGGGTTGATATTTGACTATGGTTCATTGGTTGATTTGAATGAATAGTTGCTAATGTACAAAGTAGGTTATCACATTACGTTTAGATTCATTTTATCGACTGTTTAGTTGCCTTGTATACACAAATTATGAAATTGTCTCAGCATACTCTGATAAATACATTGTGCATTTTAACATATTTCATCTTCAGATGTCAGTCCCTTGTCCTAAGGTTACAAAGCGAAATCCGACAGGAAACTACCATAATTTAGCTGAAAGGCTTACTTACAACTATTCGTATCCAAACTGCTACCTTCTTATGGACGCACTGAAACGCTTTGAAGAACGTCTCCTATTGTCACGTCAATATCCTATACAAAAAGTTACACTATCCAACAAAACAATTGATACAATCAAAATTAGAATACGCAATGGTTGCGATGAATCACAAAGCATATTATGGCCTTGTGAATCAATGAATGAGTCATGTATGTCGTGAAGCAGTTCATAAAAGTCTATGTTTTAATGAAATTTTAGATTCACTCTTAATTTTCAGTCAAAGGATTATACTGGAAGCTGAAGAAATTTGGGGAATACTACATGGTCTAGAGACAATACTTCAACTGGTTTATCGAAGCGCCCTGGAGACAGTAAGTTCAAAATGAGTATTTTTCTTCATTAACTATTCTTTTTTTCATAGAATGTGATTGAAGGTGGTACAATTTCTGATGCTCCGTTATTTTCGCATAGAGGATTCCTGATTGACACATCAAGACATTATCTGTCAATAAAGGAGATAAAGAAATTCATTGTGAGTTCTATGGTTTAAACATTTTGTTTAAACTACATATCAGTAATCCTATCCTAATATATCGTAGTAAAACACGCAAATAATCGTTGTTTTACAACCATGTAGAAAATGACTGTTCTTTTAATCTTTATCTGAGTATGGTGTCCTGTCTCAAACGCTTTCGCCAACTTTTATAACATTTGTTTTCTACCTACCTTTTTTCTACATGGTGCTGTGAATTGAGACAAATTGAAATTATGAGTTTTGTGTTTAGTTCTAAGTTGACTTATCAGTCCCTAAACAACTACTGTGAGAATGGTTATGAACAGAAGATAAATTTTTTCATATGCAGTTTCTGAATACTGGAACAAACCACGGCTTGATAACATCATTGCAGGCAACTCAGGTTTAATCTCTATATTTCTTTATTGAAGGGAAACTGGACGTTCAAGGTCTATCTCAACAACAGCTCCTACGGATAATGTGTGAGTATCCCAACATTTAATCCATTATAGTCAATATAGTAACATATGTAGCATGCTGTTTCAGTCAGTGGGATGCTTGTAAATAATGAAACCACATCTAAGGAGAACATAATTTTGTCAGAGAAATTTACATTATAAATAAAATTGACGAAATCAAAAGTCACGAATTGTATGAAGTGAAACTTGCCTTCTTATAGGCTCCAAGATTTTGATTAACCACTGGATAATGCCATGAGAAGGCGATACAGTCATGTCGAGAATAGGTCGTAAAGGTGTGCATTTCGGCAATCCGTACAATCGCGAGATATTTGGCTCACATGGTCGTAGGTATTCGAATAATTCGGAATCAATGAAAGAAAGTTTATAAAACCCATCAATGAGAAGAATAAGTAGGAGCAAACTGAATAACAACTAATTCAGGCTTACGTATGTCATCTTCAAGCTGAAATAGAAACAAGTTGCATAAAATAAACTTGTGTATGTGCAGACAAAGACCAGATAGAAGCCATTTTTACACAGTTCCCACAGGATCCTGATGTGTCATGACGTGTAAGTAACACCCAATCTACGAGTGAAAGTGAGAATCATGATGATTACCTATAATTCTCAATATATATTCTCTATTTATAATAAAATCTTGGAAAACCGATTTAAGAAGTGAGTAAAATATTAAATGAAGAGATAATTACCACCAAATCAGTGAAAAAAGATGAGATTAGAAGTGAGTGTATGCATATGCATAAAAACTAGGAAGTATAATCAACTGAAGTTGATTGACATGTACTGATTAGTAACAGGGTGAAATAATTAGAATATATTGATTTCATATTTTACAGACCACATCAATTATGAGACTAACTTCAAAATATATCAGCAAACGATAGATTCTTATTTACAAATATTAGAATAAGCCAAAACCTCCTACCAAACTGATTAGCCTGTACAATAACTGAGAAAGTAAACAAACCATGATGAAGATTTAGATCGAAGTCGAGCTTAAATGGAATGTTGACATAATTTAGACTGTCAAAATTAGCATCCGGTGAGTTGTCTCTGAATGTTGTTGAAAATGGGCTTGGCTACTGAAAAAGTAAAAGTCTGTCACGACAAAAAGTGTTCTTAATAGGTATTCATTAAACAGGCCTTTTCATCACGCTTTGAAGCCGTATGAGTTTACAGCCGAAGAAGCCTCGACAAATAAGGAACCCAACCCGACTTTATCTTCTTGGTTATTGTCCTGTGTCACTTATTTTCGAAAGCTATACAATTCACTGCCATCATCAAATTCCAGGCTGAAGTTTAGAAATCAACCAACACATTTTCATCAGCAGTCAGAACCTCAAAACCATTTCTAGATAAGAATCATAGATATGTAAGGTATCTCATTCGGAAGGTGATTTTAAGCCAACTTTGCTAATGTCATAAAGTGTGACTGCCATGTGTCTGCTTTCGTCTTTATCCTACAGGATGCAATGTCGATGGTGAAGATGAATGTCCTCCACTGGCATGTTGTAGACGATCAGTCATTTCCCTATGTGTCAACAATATTTCCTCGACTCTCCCTGAAAGTAAGTCTCTGTTTATTTATGTTGATATATATGGAACCGAGAACCTCTCCTGGTTAGCTAGTTCACTAGTTACTAGCTGGTCCTACGCCCGGGTAAACACGGAAGGTTGGGCATAGGGCTACCAACCCTACCCAAAAAAACTAATCCAACCCTAAAGAAACTTCAAAGTACAAACGATATATAAAAAATAAAAACAAACTTATTCCTCGCTGGAATCGGAGAGGCGAAATGACACCAGTTGGTGAAAGCCTTAAGGAAGCCAATTGGCCAATGTGTCTTCTCTCGATGAAAGCGAAAGTAAACGTAAGGACATGGAATGTCTGCACTCTGTTTTAACCTAGCGAGGCTTCCCAGATTGCAAAGGAGATGGGAAGGTATCACACTGAAGTGCTAGGAATTTGCGAATGTAGATGGAATGGATGTCGGCTTTCCAAACTGTCAACTGGAGAATCAGAAATCTACTCCCATATTGTCACCCAGACGACAATCACAGCACACTGAGTTTTGGAGTGGCTATCATGATGTCACCGTCAAGAGCATCGAAGGCTCTCATACAGTGGGAATCAGTCTCTTTCAGGATCATGACAGCAAGATTCAACTGAAAGTGGAGGAAAGTCACAATCATTCAATGCTGAGCTGTCCACCTACAAATAATGCAGAGCAAGAGAAAAAGGAGGAATTCTACAGACAACTATAATCAATACTGGACAAGACCTCAGTTGGCTACATCAAAATTCTAACGGACACTATACTGGACAAAGAAGTGAAGAAGAGTGCACGCAAGGACAAAAGACACTTCCACAACACACTGGCAAGTGAAGCAGAACAGGCTGCAGGTAGGAGAGATAGAGACCTGACAACATTGTATCAAACAACCAGGTTACAGTCTATCTGGGAAGAGATCAACACACATGAAACCAATAGAAGATGATGAAGGAAATTTAATAACCAGTGAAGAGAAACAAAGGAAACAATGGGCCGACCACTTCAAGAAGCTCTTGAATCGACCACCAACTGCACTTCGTCCACAAATACCACCTGCAGCCCAGCCACAGAACTACAAGTGAACATAAGCCCTCCGACGAAAGTCGAAGTCTCGAGCGTCATAAAGCTACTGAAATGCAGGAAAGCAGCTGGACCAGATAGAATCCGGCCAGAAGCACTGAGAACAGACGCAGAGACAACAGTGGACATGCTCACACCACACCACACCACACCACACCACACCACTATTGCAGAAGGTGTGGAAGGAAGGGAAGGTACCTGCCAACTGGTTGGAAGAAGGGCTACCTTGTCAAACTCCCGAAGAAGGGAGACCTAAGTCTCTGCAAGAACTGGCGCAGAATCACGCTCCACCATGTCCACCCAAAGCAAGTAAAATGTTAAGCCGCATCATCTTGGAGAGGCTTAAGGATGCACTGGATTCAAAACTACGACCGGAACAGGCTGGCTGGCTGGCTGGCTGGCTGGAATCAGAAAGCAGAAATCATGTGCGGACCAAATTGCAACGCTTCGCGTCATCATAGAACAAAGTATAGAATGGCAGTCAATCCTCTACCTCATCTCAACTTCATCGACTTTGAGAAGGCCTTTGACAGCGTCGACCAAATGGTAATTTGGCAGTTGCTTCAATACTACGGATTACCACAAACATTTATCAGCCTCATTCAACAACTATATGAATACGCCACATGCCAAGTAATTCACAATGGGAAGCACAGTGATGCTTTTGAAGTGAAGACAGGAGTGAAACAAGGCTGCCTACCATCACCCATGATACTCCTGATTGTGGTTGACTGAACTGGATCATGCACCAAACAGTGAGGAGCGAGAAGAGGGGAATACTCTGGACCGGGGAAAAGAACCTAGAAGATTTGGATTTCGCCAGCGATGACTTGTGTCTGATGTCACACAAACTTGAAGATCTACAGGCGAAAACTAACAAGTTGACAGAAGAGGCGAGGCAGGGCAGCGAAGGAAGACGGGACTTCAAGTGAATATAGAGAAGACAGAGGTGATCAAGATACCCAACCAACAACAACAGCAACAACAACAAACTCCAATCACCATGAACGGGAGAAACTTAAAGGAAGTAGCCTCCTTCACCTATCTAGGCAGCACTTTTTCAACTACACATCACGGCACAGACGAGGATGTCAAAGCCAGCCAGGATCGGAAAAGCAAGACAGGTGTTGATTATCCTGAGACCAGTGTGGCGATCTTCTACACTCAGCATAAAGTGTGAACAAGATGCGGATTTTCAACACCAGTGTCAGGTTAGTGCTTCTGAGTAATGGTTGAGAGACTTTGCGCGTTACGAAAGGGATTTCCAACAAACTCCAGACATTCATCAAGAACTGCCTGCTCTGGCTCGTTACTGAAGATCAGATGGACTACCAGAAAGAAAAAGCAAGGAGGAACTCTGGGAACGAACCAATCAACAAGCTATCGGTCAACAAATATGCAGAATGAAGTGGAGGTGGATTTGATTGGGAATACACAGAGAAGGCCGACTGGGGACATCACTCGGCAGGCTCTCGAGTGGAACCGCAATGGGAAGCGACGAGTTGGGCGTCCAGGTTGATGGTGACATGGAGGAGATCGTGCGAGGAGGAAATGAGAGCTTGTGGGCTGTTGTGGAGCCAGACTGAAAAGATTGCAGAGAAGAGAGTGGAATGGAGGCGTGCTACTGAAGCCCTATGTTCCATTAGGAACCCAAGAAACGAATAATTATTACACTGAACCGAGACTATGGAACTCCTGAAATAAGAACTTTTTGAACATCATTCTGTCAAATGGTGATAAGAACATTCTTTCGTTAAAGTATTTTATTAGTAGCGTACCGAAACATAGGTCTCAGCATCTTACTATATCTTTGGCTTATGCATCGGGGAATAAAATTGATCTAGGAGAAAACAGGCGTAAGGCATGTGCTGATAATCAAGCTTTTCTGTTTTGTTTATCATTGTGCATTTGTCCTTCCTTTCGCCACATGCTGTTTATACCCACATTTGACAGGCAGCGTGTTAGCCATAAGCGTAATAGTAATGAGTTGTGAAACTGAAAATGACACATCGAAAAATCGTTATTCTTTTGCTGGTAATGACTGATACCTGTATTGTGTTCTCTGAGCCAGGATTTTTAGTCGTGAAAATCTTACTCCTGATATTCCTCGGTTTATTTGGAACCCTTTATATTTGTACATCTGATATCATAAACATGATCAATCAGTTTGCATGTAATGTTGCATGGTCAACTGGTCTTTATATATTGAGGTGCGGATTAAGTTTGAAAAAAAATCTATGGCTGAGATGGGTGACGGCATGATTTTGATCTGTTAGCTGATCGAAAGCGATTGGCAGCGAGCTCTGAAACTATATCTTGTGTTAGCACTCGTTTGAAAGACATATCTGTAGTCTCAGTGGAACTGATGTTCCCTGTGAGATTCGCACTCAAATCATCGGTTGTTTCAGTTAGTGACGTTACCGTTAAGCTATTCGAGTTCGAATGACCTACAGCAGGACTGGGTTAAACACATCGCTTAGCCACTCCATAACAACCAATTAAATGCTGTCTAGCCCTGAATGTTGACTAATTTAGGTGCACCGTGATGAGAATCTCCAAGGTTTGTAACTGCATTGAAAAATGATGGATAGAACTCCATTAGTACTGTTAGGTCGCACTACTGGTTATAACAAATTGGAGATGGGTGTATTTTGAAATGGACCCATCACGCCTGGAGACATTGAAGGTGCAGTAGCTTAAAATGATGGAGGTACTGGCTTACTGATATTTTCCCCAGTCGATTCATATTCAGCCAGTGACAACGTCGATAACAGTATATCCGAATTCGTCTATGACTCAGATGCAAACAGAGCGCTCGATACGTAGCTTCGAAGATGTGTAGACCTGTTCAAAGAAGACTTCGCAAATCCGCCCCAACAGCAGCCTCGAGCATGGTCTCCATCAAAACCATATTCTCGACTACGCTTGGATTTCGCTTGAACGGCGGATGGTGTGTATTACTTGGTTCTTGTGGAGACCTATTCAGAGTGGTCCGAGGTAGTTCAGATTACCCCACCCTTCATCAGCCAAAACATAGCAGACGTTATTAAAATTTTAGTGAGCCAAGGCATTCCAGAATGCATTGTATCTTACAGCGGCAGCCAGTTTACGTCTCAAGTATTTCAAGATTTCCGTTATAAAATGGTATACAGCACGTATGTACGCCATTATACGACCGTCAGTCCAGCTGCCAGGCAGAATGATTTGTGAGCACCTTCAAGAGAGCTCTGTTGTATATATATATATATATATATATATATATATATATATATATATATATATATTGCTGTCCACTATGTTAACTGTTGCCGAGACAGTTAAAATCTGTGTCAACGGTCTGTATTCTCTCCTCGTCTTCGTGCATCCGTCGTATTGCTGTGATGGCGGCTGACGTTCTGATTTGCATCAGAGTCATTCCGTTTAAGCTTTAGGTTCACATCGTTCTTAGTCTGCTACGATCGTATCACTCATAGACTGTTAGGTCGTACTGCTGGTCGTAGCAAGTACTCAGGACTAAAAAACATGAAATTGGTTGTTTTCCGGCGACAAATCAATAAATTTTCTCTGCCACTGATTTGTTTCACTGGATTGCGAAATACCAGATACTATCATCTGTCAGTCTGCGTTCTCAATGGTGGTTGGAACAACAAATGCAATCGGATGATCGCACATATCCTAGCCAAAGATATTAAACTTCGTCAACAGCCAGCGTATCAACTGATGTGTTTCGTTAAGGAAACAGGTCCCAAAGTTACATATCTCAAATCTGTTTGCAGAAATTACTAAAAGCAGTTACAGAGTGTTGTAAGACTGGTCAGATCATCCAAAGTCCGAAACCCCTGAAGTCTTTTGCAACCAGTTTCTGTACTCCAAAGTTTGGCAGAAACAAGCGTGGTCATATAGGTAAAAATGAGATTGAACGAAGAGACAAAAACCAATAGGGAATGCCCTTCTAAAAGGCTACTGTAAATCCATCCAGATCACCCTAGGACCAGGCATTACTGCGTAACTGTTCGCGTTGTCACACCTCATATCAGTACATCAAGTAAAAAGGCACTGAGGCGCAAGATGAAGATAAGAGAATGCAGTGAGAAGAAATTTAAATTAGGAAAAGAGAGCAACGAAGAATGAGAAAGTGGTGAAATTCGGTATAGCGTCGTTAAGATGAGGATGATGTGTGTATACATCTGCGCCACTGACATCGGTTCTGAGCCATATCACCTAGTGTTCCAAAACCTGACGCAGTGTGAATATTTGGTCGATACATCCTCGGCCAGGTCTAAAGCCTGATTGGTTTTCTCGGGCTTGGTGTTCCCGAGCTCCACTCAGGTGTCGAAGAATTATACAACCTAGAATCTTAGACACCATGTTCGTTAGGCTGATTCCTCTGTGGTTATCAGAAGAGGACTTTTCGTCTTTCTTGAAGACTGGGATGATGAGTGACTTAGACCAGTCAGAGGGGATCGTATTCGATTCCCATATACCAGCTAACACTTTCGTTAATCTGACTAAGAGCACTCTACCACCATCCTTGTATACCTCAGCAGGTAGTCCGTCTGGTCCTGCTTCTCTTCCTCGTTTCAGGTTACCTGTGCTAATACATGACCCGCTTCAAATAAACCAAGTATTCTTATTATTTTGTTGAAATGTAACAAAGAGTGTGAATTCTACATAGAATATGCTGACGATAAATGTATCGTTTTCCACAAGAATTTTGATCTGCAGAAGGTGCTACAGTTTTTTTAGCTATCGTTACTCCTCGATCAACTTTACAGTGGATACAGAATGACATTCACAGATACCATATACTGACACATTTTAAATGACAAGAGATAATGTGAGACTTATAAGATACATATATTGGAAGCTTACATGCAGTAGACAAATGAAAAGCTTCAATAACTGGGTTATCCCCAACCGAAAAAGAAATCTAGTCAATTCCAGTTCCTCTCAAATCCGGAGGATTAGTATTTTCGGCACCTTAGAGGAGGAAGTTCATCAGAAGTGGATAACTAGAGAGATTCATAGATGAAAATCTGCATCCGAATGCTACTCATCAGTCTTCTATTAATGTGAAGAAGGTAAAGCTGATTTTATATTCGAAATTTAATGAAGATGAAGCAGATGAGATACTAAACCGGAGACAATCGAAGGTTTTCAACAGCCACTCTGCAAATCGTCTACGCCAGTCACCCGACGGTAAGCGAGTGAGTTAAGAACAAACTGCCACTTTTAGCCAGTTAGATGTTTATATGTTAACTCACCTGTTCCTGTGAAGCTAGGTGTACTGGCTATAGGCAGAGATAAATTGTTTAACGTCAATACTTTAAAGCATGGTTAAGTAAAGCCTGACTCAGGTCAATCAATGGCTTAATACCATAACATTTAGATGACAGCGGACAAACACTTCCAGAATATCCGTTTGAAAAGGTCTACAAAGTAAAACTCAGTCCCTAAAGGACGTGAAAGGACGTTGGATTTCTGAGGCTTTTTCAATGCAAAAGGTGATACCAGGATTGTGCATCCAGAAGTGATTTTTCTGTTCCCTGCCCCTATTAACTTTAGTTTCAAGCTTTCTAATTCTTTCAATAAGCTAATCCTGTTTATTTTCATTTTGTTACTAAGTGAGCCTTTTTCCAACTCTGGTAATAAGTTCTCATTCCTTGTCTAACTAAATACTGTCTTATCCCTCTTCTAGGAATTCCTTAACTTGTTGATTTCAGTTCACACCTGCTTATTCATGTTGTAAAATATTATCATGCTTCTTGCATACCTTTAACTTACATATTATTTCACTAGTTAAAAACTATTAGAAAATAGTGATGGGTAGCCCATACAAAAAAGATGGAAAAGGTAGCTGTGATAGGTAACAGTCAGCAATTATTTAAGACTAGTCAAAGAAGCCAGGTCAAATGGTTGATGAGGCTACAGTGAAGTTGTATGAGTGTGGAATTCACTTGCAAGGTAAACGACTGGAACAATGAAAAGAAGACTTTCAGCGACAATTCAGTTGACGTCCAGTCCTATGTTATTTTCCTGGTAGCAACCTACTAATAATTATTATTTAACAAATATTCACCAATAAATATGCGTGCTAGTTATTTCGTAATGTGATTGTTCAGCTGAAAAGAGTGCCATAGCTGACAACGAACTTGTTCCCCAATACTTCAGCACAAACACAACGGATAATGAAGATACTATTAAGTTTAACACTAGCTCATTCATTCGTGATTATTCTCTTGTTTTGAATGTCAATCTGCATGGTTCTTGCGCTTTATTTCTGTATCCAATATCGCATATTCATTCTTTCTTTTTAACCAGTCAATCATTATCACCTTCGACGCTGTTGTATCTACTACTTATACTCACTCAAATAATTAGCTGTCACTACACTTCTAGTTTTGATTACTCACTACTGAATACTTGTTTGGTTTGAACTCGTATATATTATCCAGAAAAATAAGATCCTAAGTTTTATTGCAGCACTATCATTGTTGTTCCTTAGAGTCTGAGAGTTCAGTGGCCACCTCGATTCTATGGAATAAGGAATAATATCTGAATAAGTTGGAATATTGACTGTTTACACTGTGAGACAGATGTTATAAAACACCTTAGGTAATAGTATGAATCTCATCCGTGATACAATGATGCCATTTTTATTGGGTGAGGGTCTGTAGAAAAGTTTGTAATTGACACATTCAGAGCATTTGATTTAGTTTTTACAGCCAATAAGAATATGGAGTGCAAATATACCATAATGCAGGTGATACCAGAATCCGAATCACCAGTAGTTGTTACAGTGAACTGGGATTAAGAAATCCACTGATGAAATGCCTACGTAGAAGTAATTATTACAGATATCTGAAATAGCTCAAAATTAGCAAATATTATTCTGTTCCTAGCTATACGCACTGATGTTTAGCAAAGAAACTGTATTGTACGCAAGAGTTAGCTTACAAGTTGTCACGACTTTGTACTGTTTGAGTTTGACTGAAGTGGGCTGCTTGATGAAGTGAATATTGATTGACTGAAACGGGGTTGTTGATTTTATATACTATGCAATTACTGAGAACTTAGTCTCAATGTAGCCGATTCAATCTCGAGATGTAAGTTTTTTTTAGACTTTTTCTTGAATACCGAAATTTTATCACTGAACACTTGTTTAGAATTCCACCTTCACATTACATGTATTCCTAATTCCAATTTTCAGGGTGCATTTCATCCATATCTCCTAATCTATACACCAACTGATGTTAAATATCTGTTGAATTATGCGCGTTTACGGGGAATACGTGTTATGGCAGAATTCGACACCCCAGGTTAGTTGATCAATTGTTCGATGATATCATTTTATCAGACGACTTCTGTGAGTAGACTGGGGATAAAATTCAAATTTGTCACCGATGTTCTTCACTTGAAGATGCATTTTTCCAAAGTGAGGTGACACTAGGATTTTTTAATCTCTAGAAGACTTATTAAAAGATACTTAAAATATCATGCCTACTGAGGTTACCTAGGTAACCAGAGGCTCAAATCACTTCACAGCTGATATTTATCTAGGTGTGAGTCATCCCTACTGGGACGAATGCAGTTTCTTTACTTGTGGTACCAAAATAGTCCAAATGAGAATTATTCCTGATTAGATTTCGTCCTATCAGTTTGGTGACAAACAAACCAATACTGCCAAAATCCAATGACATGACTGCGACATTGTGATGTTGCGTTTTCATACGTTTGGATATCTAAAGGAAAGGTCGCCTGAATGCTAAACATATCAGGGACATTCACCCTACAGAAATGATATGGTATCGTCAAATAACCAGTCATCGATATTCATATTTGAATTTCAATTGTCATCATTGTTACTGAGTATGAAAACAAATTATGTCTGCCATCGTCACTCTTGCACCACACGTTTCTGCTGAGTTGAATCAAACATCATTTAACAAGTTTAGTGTCGAAAAAGTGGTCGGTGTTAGATGAAGCGTGTTTTGGTAAGAGTAGTGCTCAGGTGTTAAAAGTGAAAGCCTGACACAGAATTGTGCATAAGTGAATGGATTATACTGTATAATTGTGCACTGAACTACTTAGTGGGAAAACGCCCTCTGTTGGATAACTGGATAGCCAATCATATGTGTAGCTGGCCAGTGTACAGAAAAACTAAAATTTTCCAATAGAATGGGGTAAATCTTGATAGATTCATTCATATAGACAGGACTTGTATTCATAAATCATTGTGCCGTCAAATTCATAATTCACAAGATACCAACTTGTGACACGTTTTATTTGAACTGTTCGAAAGATCACTTTGTTTCACTTGGAACACGGAAACGGTGAAGGCAGGTAACGGAGTACGCTGCTCCATAAAATATCTTACTGAATATTCAGAGAGGATTATTTTTGAGGTTTTTACGACAGTTAATATGCTGCCAACTGTTGTTTTGAGTAAAATATTCGGAATACAGACGAATTTGATAGTAATTTACTTAGATAACCCCTGTCAATCACTCTGATTAAGGTAGAAAGGAAGGATGATGAATGTTTGTTGAAGTTCTCAAGCCAACTGTAACTAAAGTCACTATCAACATGAGACATGGTATTACTGGGCAGCAGTCTAAGTTTTCACAACTCATATCAGCATATTAAATGAGAAGGCACAAAATTAAAAGATAAAGTATGGAATAAAGTAATGACATATGGTAGAAAGATGTGAAAAAAAACGGAGCAGCGGGGTAATCATGAAATTTAATATGGCGATTTTAGTTGGTTGGGGGCAATCAGCTGGAAGCCCTGGACCTAGGTGCTGAGAACCCTAGCTTGGTTACCAGATTGCAAATATGACTGATAGGATTCGGTCTGCACTCAGGACTAGAAAACATGAAATTGGTTACACTCCCGTGACTAATCAATACATGTGGGCCAGTCCTACAGGAGGTCAATCGCGGCCCGAATACCTCAGTGTTAAAGTCACCGACTACAACACTGGGTGATGCGGGTTCAAATCTCAGGTGGGATATCAGTTCCGTCAAGATTGCAGATACGCCTTGCTGCTGAGTGCCAAAAAGCACGAAACGTCGGTCCAGGGCTTTCTGTCGATTGCCTCCAACCAACTAAGATCTACAAATGTTCACCGTGATGCTGAGCTTCCCAGCTTGGTTGCCACATCGCAAATATGATTGGTAGGATTCGGTCTGCACTCAGGACTAGAAAACATGAAATTGGTTGCACTCCCGTGACCAATCAATACAAAAATGTGGTGATTTAGATGAAGAAAGTCAGTGGAAACGTCAACGCTAGAGAAGTTGAATATGTGCCTAATCACCTAGAGCTTTCAATCACCGATTTCCGTTGTTTAGCGGACATCAACTAAGGAATACACATTTCTCTACATGACTCAGATTAACAGTCAAAGACTTCATAAATTGATGTCATATTTCAGTCTTACTACCCTAACCCTTTTCTAGATTAAATCTACACAAAGTAACATTGCATAACAACATAGATGGCAATTAGACGGGCGTAACACATGTAACAGCCACCTTAGTTGATGAAAGTCCTCCACCTCAGTAACTGGCTGAGTTCATTTCCTAAAGACTCTTTGTCTGAATTCTGAATTGAAGACTTCGTGATTACACCAGAATATTCTGCCTGTACAACATAGACAATGGCGGTTGAACACTTCAGGCCTTCTCGTGCTCTTTACTTTTGTTGGCCATATTTCACAACCATATTATGAAACCACGAGAAGTGCTGCGATGTGTAATCGATACTTAGCAGGCAATCGAATGCCACTAAGACGTCATAGATGCCAATAGTTGACGAATGCCAATCGAACCTCCTAGAATATCACAGGAGTCTCATCAGCTACCACCCACTGGGGCGAATCCTTCTTCCAAATTAAGTAAAGTTGTTAGTGCACTCGATCATTTCACACCCCATTGTTAGACAAGGCATTAACTTAGACCAGTCCTAGAGAAACAACCTGATTTTGTTAGATGAGAAAGGCATCCTAAACATCATCAAACTGCTCAAAGTATCTAGAAGACTCTGCGTCTTGTCAGTCTTCATCTAGCAGGGCTATGCCATCTACATGCTCTTGATCCACCAAAGAGTCTCCTGAGATTAGATAAATCCATGTGAAGCCGGATACTGAGAAGACCTTCATAAGAATGTTTTTGATAAAGTTGAATGAGAACAATGGTGAGAGTAGACATCCTTGGTACACACCATGCCACGTACTTAACTTATCTGATATATTATGATAGTTGACACACCCATGGGTACTTGAATAAAGAGTCTTCAATAGGGTGATGTACATAAACGGCACTCTTTCAGTAAGAGAGATTGCCACAAAGCCTCTAAATTGACAGAGTCAGTTGTTGCCTTCAGGTCAATAATTAGAGGATGTCGATAAATATGTATGTGTTCTCGGACCTACAGAAATGTGATTTTCTGGTCGATACAACTACTACCAAGTACGAAATCTGCCTGGCTTTCTCAAGTTTGATGTTAACGAGCCTCACTTCTGCATCTGTTGATTGAGGAATCCAGGATCTCAGACGCTGTGTTCGTTACAGGGGTTTATCTGTGGTTGCCACAGGATGATTTCTCTCCTTTCGTGAAGACTGCTACGGAGTCGGGACCAATCAAGAGGGGTGCACATGTCATTCCCATAAGTTTGTTAGTAATTTAGTTAATCCAATCAATAATCATCAGCTACCATTCTTAAACACCTGCAGAACTGCCCTATTTGGTCCTGCTGCTCTTTATCCTTTCAGGTTACTTACAAGCTTCTCAAGTTCTGCAAGAACTGGAGTGCTTTCCACACAGGAACCAGTTGGATAGTGGTCAACGGGATGGTAGCTGGAAACAGGCTGAGATTTTCCTCGAAGTTTAGGATCAGTCATCACAGTAGTCTTATTTGTAAGTGAATGGCAGACCGATAAAACCCTGCTGTAGTTTTCATAACTGTTAACCATTTTGTCTGGTTTTTTTGATTAGTTGTCTGTCGTCTCTGCCCTTTCCATCTCTAGTCTCCACTACCGAACGCTGCTCTCGGCCATTGTTTAGACGTTTTGTCAGTCTACGTTTGAGTTACTTCCGCTTCTTATTTTACTCGGTGTCTACAGTAGTGCGTTTCCGCACATCCACTGGTCCAGAAAACGCTGATGAGACCCAATGGATCTTTCTAACTGCTTACTGAGAGTCACTTATAATCTTAACTCCACTGCTACGGAGGACTGCAGATTGCCCCACTTGTCTTCCAAATGAGTGATGTTGTTTTTTTCCGATAAATACCTAACCAGTTTCCTCTCGAAAGTAGCCTTAGTAATCTCATATTTGAGCCTCACTCGGAATTGTTTCGTTGCTGTTCTTTCTCTACTTTTGTTCAGGCTCAGATATATGAGGGCTCGAACAAACGTGTGTCGAGTATTAAAACACGTGCTTTAGAACAAGTAATAGGTGATACCAATATGTTCAGTCTATGTCTGCTTTTGAGTTGAGGCAACGTTTATCTTTACGTCTAAAGTTGGCGCCGGCAAGAAATATTTGGTTGTCCGGACATGGTTACAGTAGACGATCAAAATTATCAATTTCTTCCGCGAGAACTCCAAAAATTCTACTTAAGTGCCTTTCTGTCTGACTTCACCAGCTACGATGAGCACGTCTTAGAAGTTGGCTTTCAGCAGGAAGCTAGATAGTCTTCAGCCGAACTCAACCTTCAATTCACCCAAACTTCAGTCACTGGGTGCGCTGGAAGAAAGTGGTAATGGTAAATATCACTATTCTTTTTAGTCCTCACTGCACCATTCAGTCGTACAGCATACAGGTGGCTGACAACCAAGAACCTCTTCGGAAGTGAACTCTCTGCCTTAGAAACTAATGGTTTAGGCACGCTCGCAATACTACAAGAACTGACCATCGAATCCCCAGGAGCTGGAACGGTGAACTTTGCTTATTCACCACACTGGCCTTGCAAGGTTTAGTAAATGATGACACATGAGTCATGAATGCATGTCTCACAAATACAGAACACATGTATGACCCTAGACGCAACAGTTTAGGATAGTGAAGTTTGTTGACCGACTCGATGGAGGGTGAGGACAACGGAAACTTCAATATGTAGTTTGAATCTCAGCTTAAGTGCACGAGGAATGTTGTACCCTGAACTCAAATCGTTGTCAAGGGCTACAGGGCTCAAAGAAACTAAAGATGAAGCATTAATATTGATTTAGGGACCTGAGAAAGATTCGACATTGAAGATGTTCGAAGTTGATATGATCTGATAGAGTTATATAGGCAGTCGGGAATTTTTGGATACGCAATCTGTGGAAGGTTACTTCTTTCTGAGGTACCTGGAAAAACAGGGTTAGTAGTAATAGTGCATAACGTAGAGTCCAAGGGAGATCTGCTTGAGGCCTTTCAGACAAGGTATTTTTGAGAAGCTTGAGATTTTTTTCCGAATACAGCTATAAGCTTAAAGCGCCTGCACTAAAACACAGCAGGATATGAAGTGCACTATTTGTGGGGCCAACCTCTATAACTTTCCTTCCAGAGCAGCATCAACAAGGCACTGCTGGTCATTCAAAGGAAACGTCTTGCAGCCGTCACATGACTATTCAACCAGCAGTACGACTTTGTCTTCGGAACCCCATCTTAGCGTAGGAATTTAAATTGTAACCGTAGTTGCTTTTCGTCTTACCACTACCTGACAGACCTCTCTGGTATGTTGGGACCTCAAGGAAAGAAGTGCTTCAATAGCATATCTTACTGAATCATTGTGATCTCCAAGCCCGACCAACACGTCGAGGTAGCAGCTACTGATCAGTGTTAATTGTGACTAAGGTCTATGAAACCGCTTTTTTAAACCCGAAAATGTTTGTTCATGTTTGTAGTAAATCAATAGAACCAGTGTAAATCAATTAATTGGCATTCAGATACGAAAACCTGATAAAATGACTCACCATCAATTTGACCTTTTGTCTAAACAATATACTAATTATGAATGACCTATTTGGTTAATGGTCTTCCATGGGTGAAGTGATTACATCAAATCGATTAATTTCGCAAAGTAGTGCCGATAAGTTGACTGAAGAACGAAAATGACCACTGATCTGACAGATATGATGCTTCATCTTAGAGATTTATGTTTTTAGTAATATGTCAACTTGAACTCAACCCACAATAATTAGTCTGCCTGTTCAGCTAAATTGCCTGCAATTCCAGTAAATATAAGAACTATGTGCATAAATTGGAAATCCTTCAAAAATTCTCAGTTTTTCAGAAAAGTTCACCAGTTGTATGTTTGCTTGATCAATAGACTGTATAATTTGCTTTAAGATAGTAAGCATTGATATCAAGCTTAAAAACGGTAATTCTTGTGCTTAAATTGGAGTCGGTTGAAATGAAGGGATAGTGGGTTTGTGTGGAATAGGCTAAACTGGTTGGCTTAAATATCTAAGGTGATATTGACGTCTATTGAAACTGCCTCCTGCTACTCAAGAAATCTTGATATAATGTAATCCACAGGCGGCTTGTGATCTAGGCTAACACAAAATCCATTGCTAGACAAAACCAAATTCATTCTGATACTGGCTTTTATTATGTTATCTAGCGAAGAAAGAGTGGCAGAAGCAGTTATTAACCCATACGGAAGGATTGAGAAAAGTGACTGCATCTCAACTAATTGCTTTAAAATTAAAAAAAATGCAAAGTTTTATTCTGTTTTGTCCTTAGGTGGATGAAAACTGACAGAAACCTCTCGACAAATTGAGTCAGCGTTATCACCATGATGGTAGGCATTTACAGCTACAGAGACTGAAAAAGATGCAGAAGACGTTGGTAGCATGTTAAAGTCAACAAATATGGAGGGCTTTTGTATAGAGTAACCACAATACAACCGTCGAAGTATACAATTCAGTGTGACTTCCCAATAACAGATTGCTAGACCAGTGACTGGACAAATTTAACAGTTATTTAAATGAAGTTCTGGCAGTCCTCATCAACCTCAGTGCTTCCATAGCTTCTATAATACACTACACAATGAACTATGCAAAGGATTATAGTAATGTTGGTTTGAGTAGAAGAAGTAGATAAGGATACAGTATCTATGGAAGTCTTTCTGGAAGATAGTCAGGCATTTCAGACCAGACTACCCAATATATTGTTCCAGACACAACAGTGCACTACAGAGTCTGAAGAGTAACGTGGATAGTCAATCCATATGATTTTTGAGTGGATTTGTCAACTTCCACATGATAATCACTTAGGGATCAAACTGACTGAGAGCTTTAAATTTTCAGATCGCATTAGTCATAGTATCTTAATCTAGGCTTGATAAAGCGAAATCCAAGAGGATCTGGCAACTGAGATTCAGTTAGATGCTTTCCGTCTAACTTGTAGTGACTGAAGTCTTGCTATTTCTGTAAAAGAAGTGATCACATGTTCATAATGCAGGAAATTGCGGAGGATCGTAAGAAATTACTGAAAGGGTTCCAAACTCCTCCTTTTCTTTAGCTGCACAGCTTACTGCAAAAATACACTACGCTGAGCAAGCGATCAAAAATGGCTGGTTGTTAAAATTTTACTTACAAGAGGCGAATATTTTGAGCATCTCACCACTGAAAACAACCTCCTCATACAATTTAGGCTACTTATTGCATTTGATTACTTAGTTTTCGATGTAAATGGACTATGGTCTGCATATTCAGTAGTCAGGAATCGAGCTTATCATTTACTTGAATCGGTCCATTGCATGTAGTTGTCAAAGAAAAGTGATTTGGGCAGTCATTCATGGCCTAAAGTTTATGTACAAAAAACAAATAAAGGCCAGTAAAAGTAAGTTTTCAGGGCTTCAGAAATCTCATGACATAATGGTTGGATTTGTCACTGACAGATTCCTTGCTCATAACATCACCTAATGTTGCTTTGGAAACTCAACTTCATGCTCACATTCAACGTATTTCATGCATGAAGGCAAGTTTAAGATTGGGTATTATGATATCACATCTGTTAATCGAGAGTTTCTTCTGGCTATCAATAACTCTGTTAGCTCTGTGTGAATCGTGACTTGTCTCTTAAAAGAAGTATCTTGTTTTTCTTGTCTGTCACGCATATTTTCTAGCTCATTTGTGAGGGGACCATTTCGTATGTGAAACAGAATGTTGGGATATAATCAATTCTTTTGGATTTATGGATGAAATGAAATTCGGGGGGAATTTCACCGATGAAATTTAGGACAACACATCCGCTTACTTTCTTCATAAAACCCAAGACCTTCATATTTATTCTATGCATTTTTGCATGCACAGTAGAGTTTATTTATCAGTGGCATTTTTCCTTCTTCTCTGAGCTAAATACTCTAGAGGCATGGCATTTTTCTTCTTAAGTAAAACACGCATACCAGATTGCACGGTCAACTGAGTTCTTATTTTTTCCTACTGATAAAGATTGATAATGATCTGATATCGATAGATATGACTGTCAAGCATTCTTGTGAGTGGTTCGAAATTTCTGTTTAAGGTTATGACCATTTTTCCAAAGAAGTTAATGACTATTCTTTATAAATGACAAGGACGAGAGTCGAGACTGTGTTGAAATTGTTTAATTTCATTCGTCATCGATTCTTGGGTTTAACTTTTGACCAGCCTCTTTATTCCATTTTCGCCTGTTTAGCGAATGTATCGTGAAATGGAATTTTAACATTTACCACAGAACATTTACTTGTTGTTCATTATCCGTTTTCAAAGTAGAGTAATTCCGCCACCAAATCTCAAATTAGTGGAGTTACCTTCACATGACTATGGACAGCAAATGTTTTCCAAGATATTTTCTATGAATTTGCTAAGATTTAGTTCCCTGACAATGTAATACGGGTTTACCTCAGTGTTCGAATCTCACTCTTAATTTCCATTATTATGTCTTTAAACAACGCTGGTATTGAGTATTGAGACTCGTTTTCTTAATACAGACGTCGACAGAAAAATATCTCAAGGGTGACTCTCGAGATGATTTTCATGCATGTAGTTGAAATTCCAAGGTGAAGTCATAGTCGATAGTGGGTGATAGACGTTTTTGTTTTATCTCTATTCATGGATATAACTTAGACAACGTTTTCTAGATCTTTGAGAAATTAAAGTACAGTATTCTGTTGAATAATGCTGATGTGAATGATACAGTAATTTTTCATGTACTAGAGGCGGTTCTTCACTTTTTGTACTTCAAAACAACATTTTTCTCTTAATTTTGGGTTGGCCTTATTGAAGACAAGGACACTGTGTAAGTGATTAATACAAGAAAGTTCTGGAAACTAGAAACATATTGACAGCTATAGACTATCTATTTTCTGAATTTTGCACAGTCAGCGCCATGTAGAAATATCTGGGTAAAATGGATGTTCGAGGATACAAATAAGTGATGAATCTGATATTTATATTCTAACGTGCTGCAGATAAATGACCACAGTCTCTTCATATTATTTTATTGACTATAGGTCATACAATTTCTTGGGGTAAGGGTTATCCTGAGGTTCTGACGCAATGTTATACAGAGGGTAAGCCAGATGGCAATCTTGGTCCAGTCAATCCAATCAGTAATGTTTCCTATACATTTATGTCCAACTTATTCAAAGAGTTGTTGGATGTATTCCCTGAAGCATGGGTCCATTTGGGTGGTGATGAAGTGGAATACCACTGCTGGTAAGTTGTCATTTTTTCTTATCAGCGAATCAATTGTTAGGAGGTTTGAGGTAGTTTGATTGATTTCAGGGCTGGATCCATCATAGACTGATACCAATCGGAGAATTATTAAAAATCTTCAGACGGAAATCCTATCTATGGCTCATTAGTATTATGCTACGGGATGAAATTTCCAAGGAGCTGTCATTATCTGCGGGAAATATTCAATCAATCGTCAACACAAATGCTCAAAGACGGCATTAAGTGATAGTTGCGCTAAATTCTGAATTGATAGAAGTACGTAAGTGTGGACCCCTGGATCCCGTCCCAGTTGTCCAGTGGCAACTTGGTCACCGCGAAGCCTGAAGGTAGTGCGTTCAACCTCTGGAGAGGGAAGTCTTGTGCACGCACTGCTGAGGCTCCACACACTCGGAGAAAACACGTTTACGGTGATTCCAGTTTTTGGCGGTTCTCCAACTGATACCAGTCCATGAAGAATAATAATCTGAGATCGGTAGTTATTTCGTACATCCCTGAATTTATATATGATATCTGATAACTGTTATCTCATAGAAAATTTAAACAGCAGACACCAATGGAAGTGAAAACAACCATAATATACTACTAGGCATAATAACATTGGAAACACAAAGTTTGAGTGTTCGCAAAGAGAGACAACATGAAACTTAATACTGTTTTCAGGGTGCATATAGGTCGTGAAGTGTCAAACCGGTAATACTAATTGACAAGCAATCCATTAAGTATGATGAATTGACCTAGTTTTCAGAAACAAAATGAATTTCTTTACCTGAAATCAAAGCTTGAATTCGTATTTCCGAAGATGTTGCTACATCTGAAGGCTTCCTGTTTTCGCTAGACGTTGGCATATTTTTCGATGGTGTGCAAATCAGCGAGTGCGCGAGTGCGATTACATCAACAGGTAAGGCTTATTAAAAGAATATATATTCATTGTTTATCTCATTCCAGATATTTTTGGATGTATTATGAGTCTTAACACAGATTTGCTCCAGGAACAACAATAAAGGTTCAAGCAGTGAAATGCGAAGACAGAGATTATCTGAAACATGTGATGTATTACCACTGTGCATTTCGAAAACTATAATCACACATGAACTTGTCAAATAATTGATATTAGGACTGAGAAGAGTTAATTAGGCTAATGAAATTTTAATTAAGAAACGAAATAACACAAGGAAAAATAAAAACCAGATAATCACCACCATTAATAGTATGAACTTAATACAACCAGTGTATTTTTAGTGTAATTCGAAGCTATCTTTAAATACACAAAGGTTTAAATTCGTCCATAACAAGTGCTTCGATAAATCTAAGTTTTCGTTTTTGATCATATATATTTGATATGGTAAAGGCTGTCTTCATCTTAATCTTATGACCGATCGCTAGTGTTTTGCAATCGATGAGGAAGGACGTGAGTCACCTACGTTTATTAAACTATTAGGGTCATTCGTTTCGAGATCTACATAGGCACATGTTCAGTAATTTTTAACTGCATGTCACGATAGCTCCTCCGCATCAACATGTGTCCATGCATATATGTAAAAGGAAAAACACAGTGGGGTGCGATACGCTCGTTCAAATGTTGTTTAGGTTTGTGTTGAAGCATGGGCCTTATCTTCTGCACTAAGATAACCTTGCCTTAGTAGTATGTAGCACTATCAACTCATCTGCACTCTTTCATTCAAGATTAGGCTATTTATTTCAACCCTGTTTGGTAACGCGATATACAAACTTTACTCGGGGACAGAATACCAATTGATCGCTCTCAGTGTTGTACCGCTCTTGCATCTGTTGATAAATTTTCATAAATATCCGTTTTGCAGCAATATATTGGTCAGCAGTTTTGCCCCTATTTCTTTTTCACCATCTGTGTATATACGATCAGCCTTTTGAAATCAACTTCTGACTAAAGCAAGTTTATATTAAACTAGAGGGGAACTGTTGAAATAAGTGATGTCCAATCCAAGTTGGCTTCTTGTGAACAGGCATGCTGATTGAGCCATCTCTCCTTCGACTAATCAGTATGTCAAACATGGTAGTTTGTCCTCCTCTCTTCTTCTTCAGTAAGGCTGATATTGCTTTAAGCATTATTTACTTTTTCTAATGATCAGATTGTCCCCGCAGATTTCTCCTAAATAGTAATAATATTCAGACAGTATCGAGGCATCCACATAGGCACCACCTGCGCCTGCAGAGATTGAGCAATTCAACCCAGCGTAGCAATGGGAGACTACAAGTGTCAAATAACATCCATTACCTTTCTCACCAGAATTGTCTGTCAGGACTCACTAGCCTAGTGGATAGCGCTTTGTTGTTTGGAGAGATGGGTAGTGGGTTTGAGTCTCAGTGGGACAACACCACCCCGTGGGATGCATGGACGTCCAGCTGATGATTCCTAAATAGGATAAAACGCACATTGTGAGTTTCACTGCTAGCCACCAAGTAGAATATAGCACACAGACGATATTGATTAACCTTTTTCAGCTTTCATATCAATTATTTGAAAATTTCATATATGATCAGGTTGTTAGAAATGTATGGTGCTTATGTATCACGTGTTTCCGTCTTCTCATTATTTTGTTTAAAATGATCAAGGGGACTAATTGTTTCAGGTAATGAAGGTAATTTAACAATAGTTATCATAGTAATAACAGCCATTTTTTACACAAACGACAATAAGAATAAAATATATATTCATTTACGATTTAAAAACTGATTAATAAGTTTTGTTCTAATATCACGTTTCTCATATAAAATGTCTACTTAATTAGGTATGGTCCAGCTTTTACATGCAGCTCTACACATGTAAGGAATTGTGAATTTGCTTCTCTCCCTTTCAGAGATGATAGAAAGCCAAACTTGTGAATAAACAGGATAGTAAGCTTATGAAAAAAATTATTAAATTGCCAAACTGGAGGGTGTGTTATACTAAAAACCTACTACTTTCATGGGTATCAGACCAAGTAAAAAACCTGAAAATGAACAAAAAGTGAAAGGATTAAGAGAGATCAGAATAAAAACTTTAATCGAGATCGATAACAATCTGCATACTTTCTGTAGTAGTATCCATTCTTCAGAAGGCGTGCGGTTAGGAATTCAACACTAGTGGTATTCGGATTCAAGACCAAAATAAACAGAATGACGCTTAGACTGGTTAAGGATTAGACCATTTTGAAAATACTACTGTTGAATTTCAAATGTCAAATTGTTCATTTAAGAAAACCATCATAGTAAGTGATAACTCACCAGTATATTTGAGAAAATCATCTTGAGAATTGAACAGAAACCCCTAGAGGTTTTCTTAGTTAATGGTATATAAGTCAGCATATGTTGATAGTAACCATTCATAACAAATTGCAACTCTCAGCAAAAGAGCCAAGTTGATATAGACATTGAGTATGCCATTTTGGTCGTCTAAAGTGAAACTTCTGAGTGGTGAATCTGTACAAGCGAATATGAGGCCAAAACAAGGCGAGATGTGTGCGTAGTTCAGTCGAATTTCACATAAATAGTGATTACAGTCACCAGATTTTCACATGTTTCATATTTCTAATATCATACAGTTAAGTGATATTCTACCGTCCACGGTATTCTTTCGAAAAAGTAGAATTTCAGAAGATTTTCTAAAGATTAGGTGGGCTGTAAGCCTTACTAAGGTGTGATTTGAAACAAATAGTCGTCAATCATTGTACCGAACGCTTGTGGTGTACTACTTTTCCATGGGTTGTTTTGCGATTTCAAATTACGAGTGCTTATCCATCCACCTCCATCTTTTTCTACATGAATTATATTCATACTGCAGTGAATTTCAATGGAAATATTTCATTTTCACCCAATTTTCTATTTAATGAATTTAATCTGAATTATATCTTTACGCTTTGACTTTAAAATTGTTCTTTCACTTTTGCACGCTATTTTCTTGACTGCAGGATGTCAAATCCATCAATTATTGACTTTATGAACAAAACGAAGTTTGGTGATGATTATCGTCGTCTAGAGGGCTACTACATCAATAAGTTAATAGAAATTATCAAAAATATTAAACCACATGGTCCGAGTATCACTCCAGTTGTATGGCAGGAAATATTTCAGAATGGCTTCCGAGTAAGAAAGTGTGCCTCTACTTGTGTTTATTGCATTTCCAGATGTATGTGCTTGATAACCATTGAAATGAAGGCCGTCTCTAAGTATTGGTATTATCATACTTTCTTAACTGGATAGAACATTACAGTGTGACGTAAGTTATATGAAAAGATGCGAAAGTAGGACATAATGAATTGCGTCTACTGAGTATTGTGCATCGAAGCATTCTGATAGACTTCAGAAATGTTTCATCTGAGGTGACTATTTTCGCAATACTCAATTGATATGGAATTAACCTATGAAGAGAGCTGTACGATAGTGGTGCACACCTACCTTCAAAGCAGTAGATATCTATCTGTACTGTCAGTTCATCATTCCGCTAACTGACTTTTTTAAATCGTGAGCCCGACGGTTATACATCAAATCACTGTGTTATATGTAACGCTTATTGAGATAAATTTAAAAAATACCGATGACATTATCATCTTCATGGACTACGAATCCTCCCGGTATTCACAAAAAGATGTTTTATTCCTCTTGTTCAAATTGATGTTATGAGAGGGATGCTTCATACTGACAAGTCTACCACTAATCTTATACACATTTTTTGCACGTTTTACATGTTAGGGTGATAAATCAACCGTAGTCCATGTGTGGAAAGACAAGGATTGGCAGACTGTAGTAAGAAATGCAACGAAGGCAGGTTATCGAGTTCTTTTCTCAGCTGCTTGGTACCTAAATTTGATATCATATGGTGATGACTGGAAAAACTACTACCTTGTTGATCCAAGAAATTTTGCAGGTAACCTCTTACAATAATCTACTTTACCATAACCTGCACAAAATTCTTGTACACTCTTTTTTAACGATAATTCGGCTTGGTGGGCTTTCTAGACTGAGAATATATTATTGTCATCCAATAACTACCCCTACGTACTCATCTAGAAACATATAAGGAGTAGTGGGAAAAGCACTACTAATAATACAGTTGCAGATCAAAGCAGTGTTAATGGTGAATACATGGTGCAAGATAATAAGATTGAGATAGCTTCCACAAAATAAAGAAAGGATATCAGAAGTCCTTCGAAGGGTTCTTAACAGACCTGGTTTTGGAGTAGCGTTTGAGCCTACAAACTAACTCGGAGACAAACTTTATCAGCTACAGGATCCTAACAAAACAATTATGCCAAAAAGTGTGGTCTTTCAAATTCGGAGCTAATACTGTGAAGTCGAATACATTGTTATCACACTAGGCGAATGGGATCATTCGAGTTATTAAAACAAAGAAATTTGACTAAATATAGAACAGAAGATCCTAGCAAAATAAGGAATCTGAGAAACAGCTTAGGTACAGCCTATTATGCTATCACACACAATCACGGAATGGGATAGGATTGAGTAACAATCATAAGATAACCTCGGTAAGTAGAGAGAAGCTGATAATTGAAGCTTTGTTGATCCTGTCGGCACTTGACACATATGATAGGAATGATGCAACTTCGATTTTGGAAATGCTTAAAATCTCATTAAAAATCTAATTTAGGAATGAAGAGTATTAAAAATATCAAAAATAGACGAGAAAGTTGTGCAAATACCCTGATATGAATATGAGGAGTAAATTCTTTTGGAAATATCATCCAGAAATAATGCTGTTTTGCTGAGTGATACAATACAAAAAGCATCTACTTTGAAAGAGCTTCTCTTAAGATGTACAATGAATGTACACTTAATCTTCAACAGGGAATTCTATAGACAGTCAGACGGTGTTGCTACTGAGTCACCTTAAGGCCCAATCTTGGCAAATATTTCCTTAGCGAAATTAGAAAATGGCCCTCTGGAAAGTATCATAAGCGGGCTAGAATTTTAGTGGCGTGATATAGACGAAACATTCTTGATTGTATATAACAACAATAACTCAAGGATCTTACTGGATAATTTTGATAGTATCCATCCAGCGATAACGTTCACTCTTGAGAGAGAAGGTGATGACAGCATCACCTTCTTAGAGGTCCAGTTGACAAGGAAGGCAGATGGAACTGTAGAAAGAAGAGCATATCGGAAACCAGCATCAACAGATCAATACACTCATTTCTTGAGTTTCTTTCATTTGCAGTATGAACGAGATATGTTTGGTCCATCAGACAAAGCTTATCAGTACCTTCGATGAAGAACTTCAAATTTGCAATGATCTTAGTATTAATGGATATTCAGAAAGGTTTCTAGCTAAAACATGGACACATTTAACATGAAAACTGGAGTACTAACAGTTTCCAAGAAACCGTTATTCTTAAGACTACGATTTCAGGGTGACATCATCAGCAAAATTGTGACACCAAGCCTAAGAAATGCCACATAAAGACCATTTAATGCAGAAAACTTATGTTGTATATTCTACAGTCGGACGATGACGACCACAGGAACCAAATAGAGACTAACTGAGTTCGCCTCTTCCATGTGCATTTACCAGTTCAGCTCCTCCTGTGGAGCTACACTGGACGTACAGTTAGTCAAGTCCATCGTCGGATCGCCGAGCATCATCCTTCATGGCCAAGTAAAAGGCAAACCAGATCAATTAGAAGCTCAGTTCTCTTTTATCCTATTGACACTGGTCACCGAGTTAATATTTATAACGCCTTTAAGGTTACTGATCGTTTCCCTATCAATCTAACCAATGCTATCCGAGTTCGTCTTTTACATACAAGAGAAGCCATCGGAATCCACCTAAACAAGCCCAGTCTTTTTTCAGAAGGAACCTGAACAGCCTATTTCTTTGCCTTAGCCATTTGTATAGCTTATCGATTGAAACAAGACCTTTCCTTTCATTCATCCCACAAATCATTTTTAATATTATAAAGATTATTTTAATATCTCTGTTATTATTTTTTCATATTATAGTTTTAGATGTCTCGTTCTCCCCCTGTTGTCTCTAATTACCGTCAACAATTGACACTTTGAAGTAACAATTCATTTTTCCCTTCTCGTTCTGTTAGTTAAATAAATACCAGTTATACAACAGCTTGTATAAAATAAACCTGGAAATTAATTATTATCTGGATGTGTCCCGTCGAATGTGAGTTGACAGAAGGGTCTAAAAGTTGCACTGCTTAGAGATTGTCTCACAGGAAAGCTCCTCACACTCTTCGGTTAAGTTTTTCAAACTAGTGATCAGTAGTGAAATGTTGGTTTCGGATACCACCATGAAGTTTCATGCTCAGATAGAATTTTCGCCTACTCCATTACTTCGGATCTCAGCACTTAACAACCTCTTAAAACTTTTCGAAGCTATTAAATTCTAAATGATTCAAGTGTATGCGTATTATTTTCTGTTTATTCAGTGAGCAACGTGAATGAAAGGAGTTATCGTATTCTTTGGGCTATATGTTTAAATGTGCTAAAATAGAAATCGACCTGTGTGTACAGGAACCAGATACTAAAAGTTGATTAGTAACATGCTGAGAAATTAAATCAGTGAGACAGCACTAAATGACAAATATTTCTTACGGTTCTGTTCCCCACATCATTTAAATTCGGATCACAGTTCATAGGGTGTTTGTGGTAGCAAATAAAAATTACTCAGTGTGTTATCGCATCCAATTTCATTCAGATCCAGAAAGAGTATAACGCATCGGCTATATGATTTACAAAATGAATCACCTGTGTGTAAATGGTTTTTGACAATAGTACTATTAATAACTGACGTCACGTTGTGGGTGTCAGTGTGAATGAAATTTGGTCTATAAATCAAATGTATTAACATAGTTACCTAAATATATGCATTCCGTAGTTTTCGCTTTTACCGAGACTTTCTGAAGACAGTTAAGATTCTTGCAAGAAACCTTTTGTCCCATCACTGGCTATGCACACCGTTGGGTAAGTGATGACAACTGTTACAACAGAGACTGGATAAAGACTTGTTTGATACATCTAAAATTTTATAATTGCGCTTGGAAGTAAATGGAAATCACACTGGAGTAACGAGCACCGCGAGATACAGTTTTGTTGGGAGTTCACATTCCCATCTTGAATTATACAAATACTTCATTGAAAAAAATTTGGCCACATAATTGTGCAAAAGTCGGGTTTTTCATGAATGAGTTTAAGAAATAATCGCAAAACGTTTCCATAAAGCATTTCAGTAGAATGCCCTCTGATGACTGTATCTATTTAGGCTGAGGTGGTTAGAAGAAGGTCATATTCTTACATTTTGTGCTTCCTCAAATGGAGTGCCTAGGTATTTAGAATGATGAATGAGATGGTCAACCACATCATATACTGCTAAAATACGTAAAAAAAAGTCATCGAACTCCTCTGATTGACATCACCTCTTCAAGGAAATTGAGATGTAAGTAAGAAGGAGCTAGAAGAGTTACTCGCCTATTCAACACGAACGCCTGATCACATGTAAGCATAATAAAAGTTTCCATAGACTCATTTTATGCAAGCTGTAAGTATAATAATCAAATGAATCTAGGATTATTTATTCCATTGACAAGTTGATGACATTTTCCACAGTGAAATCCTTGACCTAATAGTGAGTTTCCTTGCATGTTCGTAAATACGTCATCCATCTTCAGATATCGACCAACTTGTTGTGAACAGTCACTAAAACTGACAATCCAACCACAGTAGCATTCACTCCTTTCACTTATTAATGTTCATAGGATGTTTCGAGGAATAGAGATATATGACATCGACAAAAGTTGTTAGTGTTTCTCAGTTCCATCTGTTCACACAATAGATATACTAAAATTTGTACTCATGTAAGTATAAACATTAGCATTACCATTACGCAGTACATAACTGCAGTTATAGGTTTTAGATTTATAAAATATCATAACTTTGACTGAATCAAATAGATAATCTTCTTTTTGATTTCTATGTAGGTGATAAGGAAGATATCAAACGAGTTGTTGGGGGAGAAGCCGCAATGTGGGGTGAATATGTGGATGACACGAATTTGTTCAGTAGATCATGGTTAGTGTAAACAAAGTGTAAATTCTCTATATAATTTCTTCTTTGTGTTGTCAAGACACGAAAACAGATTAGAGTTGCATCGAAATACCAAGTGAACTCCAGATTTAGATTTTCTTGTCAAAATAAATTGAGTGTATTCAAAACCAAAAATTCATGAACTGGTAATCATGAAAGTGAACTGGTTGAAGACTTTGTTAGTTTTCCATTGTACTAACATCATACACCTGACACAATCACAGGGCGATTTATTATATCTGCAGTTAAGAGAACTTTCGACATTCTGGCGTTTGGATGCCTAGGCATTTTGGACAGCTAATAGCGTCTTCGAATATGCCAGTTGATCTTCTTTAGCTGGTTCATTAAACAACTGGAAAATATGTTATGACCTCATAATTTGTCGTTAATTAGCCTTTCACTGTGCAGACTGTAAAATTATGAGAAAACGTGTTGACGCATACCTTGAAATCGTCAGTAAGTTCTTCTTAAGTCAAAAAAAACCAAGCTTTGAAGTTTATGATTATCCTGGCCATATGACCTATGGTATCGACCTAAGATTCGATTACTAACTTGTTCCATTGTTTTGTGATTAGTTGACGTCTTCTTAGTAGTCTGTACATTGAGTCAATGTCCATGAACTAATAATTACCGTCCAGTTTGAGAGCCACGCTTCAGCAAATTCTCTTGTAAACTTTGAGCTTGATTGTCTAGGTGTATCCACGTTGTATCAGCCACATTTGTGATTTTCCCAGTGTACATGCACTGAAATCAGTCATGATGTTTCGTGTTGTTTGACCGCATGTTGATGATCATAGATACTGCGGATCATCCAACCTCTAGACTGACTACAGTAATGATTCAGACAGTTCTGTCGACTAACATTGTAGATTATTATTATCTTTGTTTTTGGAATGGATCCTACAGCCTGCACAAAATAAAGTCCTGATACAGTTAGATTGCACACAAGGCATTCAATGCACTTTGCAAAGATGTATGAAAATATGTATTCTGTGACTATGTACAACAATGTCAAAACACACTGACTTTTTTTTACTTGAAGTTGTCTCATGACAATCAAAGTAAACGTCTCATACCTACTGATTCGACTATCTTAATATACTCAGTTGATTATTAACGTTCGGAAGCAATGCAAATCTCTGTAGGCCAATACTAAATAAATGACATGTGACGAGCGAAACAATTTTTTGAAGGATGTTAATTCGTCAGAGGCATCCAACAGGAAGCGCTGATTGACCCTTGGCTTTGTATTTGTTGGCTTTCACCAGCAAGGCCTAAGTGGAACTTCAAAAAGAGTAATGTCTTTTGTCGTAAAACATAAACTTCGTTGTTCTGTATTGACTAGTGTCATTGTCTTGTTTTTATTAATCCCAATTTTCCATTCATTGACTTACGCAACTTCTGGTTCTGAATTCTACACTATCCATTTTCCTACTACTATTTAATTTCTACAAGAAACTTCGAATAATATGACATAATTACATGGAGTTTTCTCACAGTTAACTTACTTCACCACTTTATTGTCATCTTTTTACCAAGACAAATGAACCAACGTATGTTGATATTTTATTGTTACTACTTAGTTAAGCTGAGTTTATAAAATTGTATTTTAAAAATTCAGAGTTAGTAATATTGTCAGTCGTAATCAACTTTGTCACAACCAACAGTCTTTTTAAGAACTATATGATGTGTAGGATGTTAACTGTGGAGTAGTTGTAAGTTAATGGGCGCTTGTTCAAAGGATTTGAAGAAGATATCACTTCAAAGGACTGTGTTCTTAATATATTGTGTGCTTTTTATATTTCTTTTGTTAAAGGCCTCGAGGTGCAGCTGTGGCGGAAAGACTCTGGACTGACGAAGCTAAGCTGAGTACCAGAGAATTTGTGCCAAGAGTGGAAGAACTTAGGTGCCGGATGCTCAGGTCAGTTGGATTTTGTGATATTTCACGATGAACGTTTTCGAAAAAAGGATGGTTACATGAGCATACAGGATGTCTGTGTATATTGTCCATCGATTAATAATTGCTGGTTAGTTTAGTGGTTACCAGTACTCAATAATATAAGAGTAAACGTTGTTCACTGTGGCACAATGTAATTCCATTTGAATTGATTTACTAGATTTAGTGAGATAGTATTCTTTAACAGATTACGTTTCGGACATAACTCACTGCTCACAGGCATATCAAAATAACTACACAACTTTGAGATATTCTTTATGCATTTCGAATTTCCATTTATCCTTGGTGAAATGGGCAGTATGATATTGCATATATCCGGAACAGGTACTGAGTCATACCTGTTGTATGTATTAGGTGTTGATTCAATTAACAAAGATTCAGTTATATGTCTTTTCCTCCACCCTTCTATGTTAGTTTTAAGGACTTTTATCCTGTTCCATCCTATTGTGTGGTTGTATGTAGTTGCATGCATAGGTATCGCCGAGCTTTTATCTAAATTCCTTATCTTACTAGGTCCTACAAATTTTGACCCATCTAGTTACAACACTGTCCCAATGCACAATAAATCTAATAAATCATTTAAAATGGAATTAGCTGTACCCGGTCAGCAGATTTATTATGACGAAACGATCACATATTAGCACATTTGATGTGTATCAAGTGTCTGGTTGACTAATTGGAGATTAGCTTTTGAATTGAGGTATGGTTGATTTACTGACTGTGGAGAAGGTGAAAAAATAAACGCTGAGAATTCCAAATTGTACCACAAATTGTTTGGAATGAAGTGAATTATTATTATTATTAATAAGAGATGAAATAGGCTGCTACTGCGTTTATCGCTATCTGTCTTGCGAGTTGCGATGTAACTTAGTCTATATCAGTCCGTGTGAGTGAATTACCTAAGCACAATAATCTAACAGGCTGGTTCCACGCAGGAGTTTTATTCTAGAGAAAGTTTCTTACCCATCATCAACTGACCATGAAGCTCAAAACATTAGCATAACAACTAATTCACTGAAATTATACTTCGTTCAGGTTGAATTTTTGCCCTCTATAGATTCGAAATGAAGTATGTTTGCCCAGCAGTGAAAATAAAGGGACACTGAACAGCAGTTTTTTTGCCATTTTGGTTCACAAGTGTTTTCCGATTCAAATAAATGGCCTTATATTTCCTGATCAGACATGCCGAAGTGGCTCAGAAGTGGTTGAGGAATCCAACAGTATAAGGAAGTAACCCTCATTTAGTCGAATGACTTGAATGGGTATTACAATGATATCTACTTCTTTCAAAAACTTCCTCTGTTCGGTTAGGTTTCTTCAACTATGCACTTCATATAGTTTCCAATGAAAGTCAGATTATCACCTCTTGTGCCAATAGTGAAGCGCTTGGAGTTCTTCAACACTTAGTGTTATAGCTAGATCTTTGTCCTAGCGATACATAAAAATGAAGTGAAGGGGCAGAAAATCTGAAGGGTCTGAAGAACATTAGGTAGCAGCAATCTCACAGGCTTCATATGGTTTCTGGGTATTCAACAGGTGACTGTGACTGTTGGTTTCGTCAGCAGCGGGATGAAAACAACACGTAGCATAATTTTTATTTTCCGTCTACTAGCATTTTCTAGATGCTGAGCAGTTTATTCAGCGTACGACAGTAAATTGTAGGATGAACCGACTACTTAATCTTACTTATTGCAGCTTCTCAAAAGGTGACCTTCCAAGGTTGAAATGACTCAAATGAAACAGAGGCAGATTCAACTTGACACAAGGATGGCATTAAGTTGAATACGTATAGAGATGTTGTAAATATATGAAGAAAATGACTAAACCGAAAAAAAATCAAAAGTATAGTTCAGTACATAAGCTGGTTAACAGCTGAATTACAGAGTTGTCCAGGGAAATAGCAGGCGACAACACTAGGTAGTGTGCTGTTGAAAAAGGATGCGATGAAATCCTTACAATCATTTCCACGAAATGAGGTAGCTACATTTTTTATGTACTTTGGCCTACTGAATTGATATTACTTCATCAGTTCAAACTGCATGAAATGTATTTAGTGAATGGCAGTGCCATCTTAGAGGGACTTCTCATCTCTCCTAGAAACAGTATTTGACATGTTCTTATGTCCGGTTTTATAAGACAATAAGTCCATTCAGAGGTTTATGGGGATTTATTTGATAATAATAGTAACAGTAATAATAATAATTCACTTTATTCCAAACAATTTGTGGTACAATTTGGAATTCTCAGCATCTGTAGTCATTATGGGTTGAGATCAGTTGGAGAAACATTTGAAACATGAGAGCACTGAACAGCTGTTTGTTCCTAGTATGGGATTCTAAAGCAGTGCGCAGCCATGCCATTCGGGAGACTGAACCCAACACCTTCAAGTTCCGTAGCCGGTATGTTACCACTGAAGCTTTGGGTCTGAATTTAATGGTCTATATTTCCTACTTCTGTTTGTTCACGATATGATGACCTCTCCATCCAATGCCGTCATTGGGTATTTGTGGTCTTATCCGACATCGTTGGCCCCACCGGTCAATATGGATATCAACCTAAAATTAAAGTCCTTAATAACATCATACCGTTACCCTAGAAAACACCGCACGCAATGTAAACTGTAGCATTCAGTTTGTGTTTTGCGAACTACTGTCTCAGTAGAAATGCTTAACAGCCGTCCTAGATATTTTGCATTATATCCTAATGAATATAATACCTGTTCTGTATTGAAATGATGAAATTTCTACTCCTGATAATGTGTGGAACTGACCCAGTGCTTACTTTTCGTTTTTCTTGCAGCCGTGATTGGCATGCGGAGCCAATCAATGGGCCAGGATTTTGTTCTCCATAAGAATTCAAAATTTGTCTCTATATTTCATCTCCTTACATATATAGGTCATTTTGTCAATGAAGTCGGTCAAGCTCCCCATTATCATAATAAAACAATCTTCTTTGTAACTTTTTGTACATCTTAGCTATTTCATCAATAGCTTTTTGCAATGTCATAGCAGCTGTGTGAAGTTTTTCGTGCACATCATTTTGAACTTTGATTCTATTGTCATTCGGTTGATTTTTAACTAGAAGCAGTACACCCATTGTGATAAATTTTCCATTGTTTTATCACAGATAATCAGGAATTCACTTTCTTAATGTTATTTCACTTTTAGCTGATGAACCTTCATTTACATATTCGAACTAATAGCTTGTTCATTTTGAAGGTCAGCATGTTCACGTAGTATTTTTAATTCGTAACCCAAGGAACCCAGTGAAAGACACTGAGAGTTACAACCTTATAAATTACCTGTACTTATTCAACGTACTAATTAATGGTGAGTATAGTTCGATCATGTTTCATAAATGTACTAAACGGCAAGCAAAACTTCAAATTCTCGGAGCATGCAAAAGAGTGGTTGAGTATTTTTTTTTAACAGAAACGAGACGCCTGTGGCAAAATCAGATCGTTTCGGTTATTTTAGTGATAATAATGAGCAGCCTTTCTGACATACTTGGATCAATAACCGGGTAAGAGTGGGTCTGTAAGCCATCCATTAACAAGAGAGTTTGCATAAATCGTCCACATTGATCAAAACAAACGAAGAATAGCCTAATCGTTATTTACGCAAACATATATCCTTATAAGTGGTGTATGCATACTAGAAAGCCTGAGGATTTACAAGGCATATATGTTTGTTTGTTCGGTGTCACATGGAATGATGTTACATGTTTCTTCACTCATTGTCGCACTGGCATATCTGATAACTGAATATAACTTGAAAACATAGTATGCATGAAATCGCCTACTTCAATTCATGCTAGTGTATCACAATTCTCTGCAAAGAGGCGTTAGTATACTGTTTAAAACACATTCATATGATTTATATCAAACACAATTCTCACAGGGAACAAAATGTACATACCTGATACGATTACAATTATTTGTCCTTTGCGTTACTAATGGAAATTAGGAATTCAGTAGCACTTCTCCATTCCACTCTCTTCTCTGCAATCTTTTCAGTCTGGCTCCACGACAGCCCACAAGCTCTCATTTCCTCCTTGCACGATCTCCTCCATGTCACCATCAACCTGGACGCCCAACTCGTCGCTTCCCATTGCGGTTCCACTCGAGAGCCTGCCGAGTGATGTCCCCAGTCGGCCTTCTCTGTGTATTCCCAATCAAATCCACCTCCACTTCATTCTGCATATTTGTTGACAGATAGCTTCTTGATTGGTTCGTTCCCAGAGTTCCTCCTTGCTTTTTCTTTCTGGTAGTCCATCTGATCTTCAGTAACGAGCCAGAGCAGGCAGTTCTTGATGAATGTCTGGAGTTTGTTGGAAATCCCTTTCGTAACGCGCAAAGTCTCTCAACCATTACTCAGAAGCACTAACCTGACACTGGTGTTGAAAATCCGCATCTTGTTCACACTTTATGCTGAGTGTAGAAGATCGCCACACTGGTCTCAGGATAATCAACACCTGTCTTGCTTTTCCGATCCTGGCTGGCTTTGACATCCTCGTCTGTGCCGTGATGTGTAGTTGAAAAAGTGCTGCCTAGATAGGTGAAGGAGGCTACTTCCTTTAAGTTTCTCCCGTTCATGGTGATTGGAGTTTGTTGTTGTTGCTGTTGTTGTTGGTTGGGTATCTTGATCACCTCTGTCTTCTCTATATTCACTTGAAGTCCCGTCTTCCTTCGCTGCCCTGCCTCGCCTCTTCTGTCAACTTGTTAGTTTTCGCCTGTAGATCTTCAAGTTTGTGTGACATCAGACACAAGTCATCGCTGGCGAAATCCAAATCTTCTAGGTTCTTTTCCCCGGTCCAGAGTATTCCCCTCTTCTCGCTCCTCACTGTTTGTGCATGATCCAGTTCAGTCAACCACAATCAGGAGTATCATGGGTGATGGTAGGCAGCCTTGTTTCACTCCTGTCTTCACTTCAAAAGCATCACTGTGCTTCCCATTGTGAATTACTTGGCTGGTATGTGGCGTCTTCATATAGTTGTTGAATGAGGCTGATAAATGATTGTGGTAATCCGTAGTATTGAAGCAACTGCCAAATTACCATTTGGTCGACGCTGTCAAAGGCCTTCTCAAAGTCGATGAAGTTGAGATGAGGTAGAGGATTGACTGCCATTCTATACTTTGTTCTATGATGACGCGAAGCGTTGCAATTTGGTCCGCACATGATTTCTGCTTTCTGATTCCAGCCAGCCAGCCAGCCAGCCAGCCAGCCAGCCAGCCAGCCAGCCAGCCAGCCAGCCAGCCAGCCAGCCAGCCAGCCAGCCAGCCAGCCAGCCAGCCAGCCAGCCAGCCAGCCAGCCAGCCAGCCAGCCAGCCAGCCAGCCAGCCAGCCAGCCAGCCAGCCAGCCAGCCAGCCAGCCAGCCAGCCAGCCAGCCAGCCAGCCAGCCAGCCAGCCAGCCAGCCAGCCAGCCAGCCAGCCAGCCAGCCAGCCAGCCAGCCAGCCAGCCAGCCAGCCAGCCAGCCAGCCAGCCAGCCAGCCAGCCAGCCAGCCAGCCAGCCAGCCAGCCAGCCAGCCAGCCAGCCAGCCAGCCAGCCAGCCAGCCAGCCAGCCAGCCAGCCAGCCAGCCAGCCAGCCAGCCAGCCAGCCAGCCAGCCAGCCAGCCAGCCAGCCAGCCAGCCAGCCAGCCAGCCAGCCAGCCAGCCAGCCAGCCAGCCAGCCAGCCAGCCAGCCAGCCAGCCAGCCAGCCAGCCAGCCAGCCAGCCAGCCAGCCAGCCAGCCAGCCAGCCAGCCAGCCAGCCAGCCAGCCAGCCAGCCAGCCAGCCAGCCAGCCAGCCAGCCAGCCTGTTCCGGTCGTAGTTTTGAATCCAGTGCATCCTTAAGCCTCTCCAAGATGATGCGGCTTAACATTTTACTTGCTTTGGATGGACATGGTGGAGCGTGATTCTGCGCCAGTTCTTGCAGAGACTTAGGTCTCCCTTCTTCGGGAGTTTGACAAGGTAGCCCTTCTTCCAACCAGTTGGCAGGTACCTTCCCTTCCTTCCACACCTTCTGCAATAGTGGTGTGGTGTGGTGTGGTGTGGTGTGGTGTGGTGTGGTGTGGTGTGGTGTGGTGTGAGCATGTCCACTGTTGTCTCTGCGTCTGTTCTCAGTGCTTCTGGCCGGATTCTATCTGGTCCAGCTGCTTTCCTGCATTTCAGTAGCTTTATGACGCTCGAGACTTCGACTTTCGTCGGAGGGCTTATGTTCACTTGTAGTTCTGTGGCTGGGCTGCAGGTGGTATTTGTGGACGAAGTGCAGTTGGTGGTCGATTCAAGAGCTTCTTGAAGTGGTCGGCCCATTGTTTCCTTTGTTTCTCTTCACTGGTTATTAAATTTCCTTCATCATCTTCTATTGGTTTCATGTGTGTTGATCTCTTCCCAGATAGACTGTAACCTGGTTGTTTGATACAATGTTGTCAGGTCTCTATCTCTCCTACCTGCAGCCTGTTCTGCTTCACTTGCCAGTGTGTTGTGGAAGTGTCTTTTGTCCTTGCGTGTACTCTTCTTCACTTCTTTGTCCAGTGTAGTGT